ATATTGTCTCTTTTCATCTGAATATTTGACAATGTCCATTTCATCCGGTCACTAAAAGATTGCATCCCTTTAATCCCTTTTATAAAGAATGATATGCCATTTCATAAAGGGGAGATAATAAGATTGTATCCCCTTTGACTAAGGGAGATAATCAGATTATCTTCATAGCATGACGATCGACTACAGCCGTGGAGTTTTCATGATCGCGGTAATTGTTTGCGGTTTTATATGCTGTCCTGGGTAAACTGTTTACTTTGTTGGGTTTGTATATAATCCCTTTAATAATCAAATTAGTGACGTCATTATCTTTTTCATCCGGGCACTGATCATTGTCTATTTTACCCGGATGTTCTGTTTTTGTCTCTTTGTCGATGTACATTGCATCCGGGATTTTATTCCGTTGTCTATTTCTATCAAAAACTTCATCAAACGATATCATTTCTGCAAGTTGTTTCTGTTAGTCGGATCTTTACTATTGTGTTGTAAATTAAAAAAAGTTTAATGTCTTTTTTAAGGGAATTATGTCTTTATTTGTTTTCGGAAATTTCATCCTGGTAGTGAACCAATGTCTATTTCATTCGAATACGTTGGCGTTGTGTACGTACTCTTGGGTTATAACTGGTTTATAGCCCATCCTTATTCTCCTAAACGTGTCAAGTGAGAGTGTAAATGTTTAAAGGAGAATGACAAACGAAGCGTTTCCGAACAGACATCTTGCTTTGATCGCGTCAAACATATCTCCGCTCGAGCTTGGGTTTCAGTTTGGATTTGATGCGGGTTCACGTGTAAACAGTTGGAATCTTGGTGGTTCTTCATATGTATTGATTCTGTCTGTAAGAGGCGACAAAGCTCACAACGTGTTACAGTCTGATTGAAGCGTAGCTGTAAAATGCCACTACGTGAATGCTCAGGTCTGGCCAATAACAGATGTCGTAGGTGATAAATGTATCAAATGTATTATTTTCCAGACGTCATATCTGTTGTCACATTAAAACTCCGTTATATACTATCAGCACTTCTGTAGAGACATGTTTGCGTTATAAAACGGTTTTGTGGAAAATTTGAGGGAGACAAGACACGAATTCTGAAGAGCAAAAAGGAAAAATGGGATCTTCGAACATCTTGGCGTTAAGCGAGATGGCAAATAAAAGAGTGGCATTATATTGAGTTTTTTTCCGAGTCTGATAACATTATCATATGATATATTACTATGCGAGACTATTGTTTCCGGTAGCAATATTCTCTTCAAATCTGGATTTTTATTATCAGAATGAGCCTGTATCGTAGTCTTCGGCAACGGCCATGGTGTTGTCACCTGTAGCTGAGCTCATACACGTGTCCATTGTCTTACAATCGATATTGAACACTTTAGGAGACGTCTTTGGGTGTCTAATATCGTTTAGTAACAGTTGGGTGACGTCTTGTTCCCTAATGACTCAATAGTAGTGAATGGCGCTTTTTTTGGTAAAAAAATCCTTGCCTACACAGATATTGCCAATTCCGTCTCCATGTAAACAGATGCTTATGAAACTGTTCTTTTCGAAATTTGATATCACATCGTACAGCCGATAGCATGTCAAAACCATTACACAGTACCACTAAGGGGCAGAATGAGTAAACATGTAACCCGTCCCCCTGAATGCCTGTAGTATAAGAGTGATATTGGGTGAAATTTCTCTATGATTTTCGACAGCTGTCTTTACTGATACGGCACACTGTGGCTAAGTGAGTTGTTGTTTTCAACGGTTTAGAGTAGAGACACCGGTAGCTTACACTCTTTGCTTGACAAAGGAAACAGACGTTTTTAAAAGCTCGCAAAATAAGTTGTCAATTCCTGTTTGTATTCAAAACAAACTTAGACTTTATTATTCATATCAAACTGATGAATTTTATTCCGTATATTACACAATATCTTTCAGAAGTTAAAGTAACATCAGTAAAAAGGACAGAATCATAACTCAATATCGACCAAATAAGCAAAAACAAAGTAGCAAGTTTGGAGACCTTAAACTGAAAGTGAATGCAGCATAAACTTTAATGTATTCCGGAAGAGTTAACGGTTTCTTAAACAAATATTTTAACAATATTTCAACCGTCATGGAATCTCTTTCAAGTCAAGGAAAGTTTGTTGGCCATTATTGGTGTGAGACCTAGTGTACATAGCTTAAATCATGGTAGACGCAAAAATATACTAGATCAAAATAATATCGAACTTTTGTAGAATAAAGCCTCTCGGGTAGAAAAGTTGACGTAAAATGTAGTATAATGTTCAACGCGACACAGCTTTTATACTGATACATAAAACATGTTATAGAACAGTGAATCGACTACTGCAGTTAAACTTGATGATCAGGGAAAGCAATGGAATGTAACTACAAAGTAAAGGAGAGTTAACGATTGTGAAAGAAAAGCCAAGGCTACCGTATAGTCGAGTGTTGAGGACAGTTACACTGACGCTTAATAACAACGGTATGAAATAGAAGAAGAGGAGTCTAAAGTGTCTATCATTTCTTGGTAAGAAATAAGAATTCAGGGTTCGAATCATGTGCTATCCCGCTTAATTTTTGCACCCAGAACAGTGTTCTTGAATGATAATTGATTTACATCATTTTTATTATTTCTCATAAAAACCGCACACGGTATGGTTTTCTTTTTATAAATGTTTTAACAAAGCTGTAGTTAGGCCGAAAAGAACCCAGTTTCCAATTAGGTTTTTGGCAGTGTTCGGGGATCTTTGATCCCATAAACGATACCTTGAAAACTTACGAATAATATCGTTAGATGTTACATAATTTATTAATAATAAAACAGACAACGCTTAGACACTCACTTATATATGAAGGTCCCTTGATTGTCAATAACCCCTTGTGCTTAGCTTGCTCAAATTACAACACATATAAGGTGTATTTCCGTCCCTGATTTAATTACTTTTAGATTTTTGTTCACGCCTGTGAATATTTACGATTCTGCATATCAATATCAGTGTTATTTACAGTTTCTAGAGAGTTTAGAGAAAATATAGCCTCGTCACGTTACGCCGGCCGTCAACATAATTTCCAGTTTACGTTTATATTCTGTAACATGTAATAAAGGTTGTTGACAAAGTATCGATAACCGATCAACATGAAAACATCAACATAACGCTATTAGTTTCAAATGCCATTTTACCCACCGAGAACATTCGTTCGCTTTCATGCGCACTTGATCATGACGCGGAGCGTCGAGTCAACAATGATATATTGTTGTGGTTGGAGAACGAGGATGAAAATGATCAGCTGTGTGTTGCGGACAGAGAAATATCAATCATCCGGATACGTTTTTCGTGTTTTTTTTTACTCTTGCGCAAAATCAAATACATTTCCTTTTGGGTTCAGCTCTGTGTTAATTATAAAAGCGTAATAGAATCACAATCATGAAGTATTTATCAGTCCTTGAATAAAGATGGCGGCTAATAAACACCACGATAAATGGTTCAGATTGCAACCATGTATTACTTTTCTCTACGAAATGCAATGAAAATACGACATAATATATAAGATATTAAAACATTGACAGAATCGATGCGCCATAACATCCAAGTGTTAACACTTCAGGTGATTCCAATGCGTCAAAATTAACTATGGCTACTTACTTCTAAGGTATACTGCAACTCAATTTGTATTTGTTGGCTTAAATATTTATTATTTTGCATATAGGAGTCAGTCTTAAAATAAAAAATGTATGCTTCACGACAAACGATTTATAAATAGCACTGTTTGCAAAATCCAGTCTTTACGAATGATTCGTTTTATGTAATATCCTGTATTTGGCGAGAGAAGTCATGTCCACTGCTATTGTTCGACAGGAAACACAGACCATTGCACGCATACGAATTTACATCCGGGTTTTTAAGGAATAGTTATCATGTGTTCCTGTTTGTTTTGGCGTCTCCTATCAATTCTGACATCTCATGTTGTTCTTGTGTGTTGATGCCAAATGTAGTTGATTGTATTTTTGACTTAAAACATACACTCTCTGAACTATTTCGCTTCAAGAGAGTTATTTGCAGTGGTTTACCGCGCCATTTTACAAATCTCGCACAAAATCTCACGTCCACATTTTCCCCGAAGGAGAGTTTAAGGATGATATACTTACGTCTGTTTGACCTTCTGTTTAACCGAGCGAATAATAACAAGTATTGAGGACATTTCTTGTACACACATAGAATAACCAGAGGAGCTTTTACGAAATTGATTTTCTAATATCATGGACAATTGCTATTGTTATGAGACATGCAATTTGGTGATATTATTGTCTAGTCCTAATTATCACTACTTACTGATTACTGTATGAATGGTAGTCGCCTACCGATAAAAAGTTATAGCAATGATCTCATTACTCTGCATAAGCCTTCATCATTTCTAGCCGTAACGTTGTGTTTGTATCATTAATGTAGCTATTTATCATCGACTGGTCCCAAAATTGGAATATTTTTCATAGAAATGTACAAGGCAAATGCTAATCCAGGTTTTGATGTGATCGGTCCACAAAGAGGACTTGTTTTCAAGGGAATGTGCATGCCAATCCTAACAAATGTGTCGTTGTTTGAAGTTGCTGCCTTTTTTGTGATTTGCCGGAGAGCTGAAACCTTTAACGACACTAAAATTCCGTTGCTCGTAAAGTTCTGATTTCGACTGCGAGTGTATTGTGTAAACGAGGCCGGTTTTCTGGTATCTAGTAGTGTTATAGGGTAAAATGTTCAAGTTAAATGATTACAACAGGAGAGATTAATGGAACTACTTCTAGGCACATGTTTATCATTACTGCAGGTGAAAAATTAAAAATTAAAAAAAATAAAAATTCATTTTCATCTGAGATTTTTTCGACGTAAAGGTGATCGCGGACAGATATCCATATTTCTCAAACATATGACTAGTTTTCAGAAACCTGACATACCAGTTATTTTTTTAGTATACTAATACATCTACTATTCATAACTGTTAGTTGTATTTGTATTTCAGATTTCTCTGACCAAAGTCGATCATGTTCCTAACCGGATGTACTTGTCTGCTTGTGCTACAGGTTGCGCTGTCCTCAGCAGTTATAGGTATGTTGGTAATATATATGAAACTGGACAAAATGTATGTACCTAATAGCCAGGAGTACGGTATGTATGTGGCCAGTATACAGCAGGTATATGGTAGAAGAAAAACTTAATGTATTTCACTGCAAAATATACCCAAAACATTGGCAGATTTTTGTATATTTACATACTTAATGTTCTTTTCTTTTAACGTATACAGCGACAGCGACCGATGTACTGACAATGACCTTTGCAGAATGACTAATTTGGCTAACAAACAATGAATTATTCATCCACTTTCCGACAGGAGCTGTAGAATACTATTGTATGATGAGCAACGTTCTCCAAACCGATTGTTTGCATCCTGAAAATTCTAAAAACATGTTTTGCATAGTATGCATGCATTGCCTGGCACCAGAATCCAGCAATTTCTATAGGGCCATGCGAGTGTTTCAATTGATATAGAATGTTTTGATAATAAAAATTCTGTCAGAATAACGACATTACATGTAGATTAAAATGTCCGTTTCAATATTTCTCTCTATTGACTACAGATAATAATTTCGGTAGGTTTTGTTATTTCAATTCCATTGATTTCTCAAGCACAGCTTCGGCTACGGTGTGTATTCGATTGTATAGTACAGTCCTCCATCATAATACGAGCAAAATGTATTATCAAAAAGTTTGTTAGTCAATGTACTATTCTAAATTGCATCCCAACGGTCGAATTTGTTCACAGGTATCCGTATGTTTTTTTCCCCCTTGTGGTTATCAAAGTTACCTCACTGACACAAACTGCCCATCAGGACACCCCACCCGGTCACATTATACTGACAACGTGCGAACCAGTCGTTCCACTCCTAAATTGCTGAGCGTTAAGCAGGAGTAGAAACTACCATTTTTACATGCTCTGGTATGTCTCGGCGAGAGGACAGAATCCAAAGCCTTCCTCACAGGGGCAAACGCTCAACTAAAGGCCAAAAGGGAGGCATTGTCAAGGGAGACATTAGCCATTATGAAGAAGAAAGTTATTAAGAAAGAAAGAAAAATTAAGATATCACATTTAGTCGCATCTTACGATCATGCAATGGGGGCAGCAGGTACAATTCTTACGCCCTACCTGCAGGGGCCTTTCACAATGAAAACCTAATGCCATTGTCAGAATAATGTGACCGGAAGTGGTACTAGTACCATGTTTCTTTGTTCAGATAATGACGTTTTAGTCTGATATCACTATAAACTAACCCAGTATCAGTTTACACATTTAAAACGTAAATCCTGAAACAAATCAACTAACAAATGTATTTATCAAGGTCCTTAAACACAAAACAAATTATGCACAACAGTAATGCGAACACATTCTTACATGATCTCATTTATAGTTTTAATGGAATACATGTATAGCCCCTAGCATGACGGGTGAGTCCTAGAAGGAAGAAACAACTGTATGATGCAATGTGATTCTCTTTTGGCATATTGTATCTATTATTGAATTGCATTAGGTGTAATTACATGTGTGACATGCGTTGATCTCCAACAGAAATAATAACTAACCATTTTTCTTAGATTTTAATACTTCGTATTTTATTACGAAATACCATATCCATAATTTACAAAGTGTTTATCAAGTTTCTGATGGTCAACTATGAGTCACAAGATACAGCAGGTATTCTTGGATATCGACAAATCACTCTGTTTGTATAAGAAGTCTGACGAACTCTAACACTGGGCGTGGTAGTAACACGGCAATCACAGTAAGTAGAACAGTATTGACCGTGTATGCTTTGTTCCCGGTCCTCAGGGTCTGTGTTGGCGCCTGAACTTATTCAGCAAACATAATGAGTTACCACTTGTGTCGAATTGTACTCCGTATGTATACATAGTGCCATGGCTGTATTATACACACACAAATGGATGCTACACTTCTGCATGGTCGAATGTGTATGCATGTACAATTATTACTATTTCGTGTTTCCCTGTTATTGATTTGACTGTAAGCTATTGCGGAATGTATATATGAATGTATATATTCACCATTGTCTCCTGTTTAGGGTCCATAATCTCGAAGTAGTTTCCCTGATTGGCAAGCTACTCTATTTAAGTGCGGAGAGGCACGACTAGGTGGACTAATATATTGTCTGTATGCCGCCGCATACAACGTAAGCATTAAACACTGTAACAAAAGCCAGCGTCTGTTGACAGAGTAGCTAATCACTGTAATAGAAATCTAGCAGCCAGGCCATACTGCAGTTGTGATCTCAACATTGCAGCCGAAACACAAGACAATATATAGTATTGAAGCATTGCAGCACAAAAACAAGGCAATCGCTGATAAAGCATTGCAGCCGAGTCCAATTGCAATCACTATTGAAACATTGCAGCCGAGTCCAAAAGCAATCACTATTAAAGCATTGCAAACGAGTCCAAATATAATCACCATTGAAGCATTGCAGTCGAGTCGAAATGCAATCACTATTGAATCCTTGCAGCCGATTCCAAATGCAATCACTATTGAATCATTGCAGCCGAGTCCAAAGTGCAGTACAAATAAAAGTGATGGACTTATTGCTCTGCTGCAATGCTTCAATAGTACTTTTGTATTGATCTTAATCAATCTTCACAACATTGTTGACCGTGGCCCGAGGACGTGTCACAACCTTGATTAAAGTAATATCTTAAAGGTCAAAGTCACAAAGTCTTACCAATTCAAGGTGTCTGATCATAACTTTATTACTTTCAGCTAGCCCAATGATGTGTCGCATTCTTAACCCTACGTCATATATTTCAGGATCAAGTCCGTGGAGCATTGATATCTGAAATGGTCATACACCATCATTACATGATGCATGCCTATTCAATGTTATTTATTTTAAATGAAAAATTGTATCGGACATCATTTGTAACATTCAATATTCCAGTTATTGTCAAAACTTACGATCAAATCTGATAAAAGCATGCTGTGGGATAAAATTATTGATGCAGTGCTTTCGGCGTGCACAACGCCAGTTGCAGCCCTAGCATGTAAAATCTAACTTGACAAACTACTTCAGTACAATTACAGGCTCGTTGATGGGTAATGCAAACAATGACAAAGCTCTTGTCTGATATTGAATCAAAATACTTCACAATACTTCTTGACAAACTGTCTACAGATCGAAAACTATGTCAGACTTAAAAGACATTTCAATATCGATTAACGTCTAGAACGCTTGTATAATTAACTAACAATGATGCATTAAGGGTGATGGTGCCATCCTGATATCGTGTGATACTATTGTGATGTGGAGAGTGAATCGATCAACGTGTTTAAATGGCTAACACATCGATACAACCTGCTCTGCTCTTTTCTGTTCATGTAACCATGTATCTTTTCTTCATTTGGCCATAACTGTTGCAATGATGTAAAACCACCACAAATCAAACGTATATACTTCCCGGGAAACAAAGAATTGTGTTTCCCGATCGCAAGGGCAATACTAAATATTCTATTATACCGAAATAATACAAGTACATAAAAGTGAAGATGATCGGACTACTGCGCCGTTGTTGTTGTCTGTTTCGGTCAAATAAGGGAAACTCGAGCACGTGAGGTCCACCTTGTCGACTGCTTCGGTCAAATAAGGGATACTCGAGCACGTGAGGCACACGATGATTTATTTTCCCGTCAATACAAGACTAAATCAGTTTTAATTGAAACAAGAAATGATCTGTAATAGATAGACTGCTTACACCCACTGAAATAATGAGTCATATAAAGCCTCGATTGAAATTTCAACATATCGATGTTGAACAACTCAGGTTTTGCCAGCCAATCAACATAGAATACAGTTTCGTAGCTACTCTGTACATGACGTATAGTCCAAAAGCAAAAAAAAAAAAACGGCTATCTTTCTACATGTCATTTTAAGTTATCGCTTGGTCAGAATATATTTTTGAAGGCCTTTCCTTTGCACATGAGTGCTTCAAATACAACATCAAGTATCATGATTTCATATGAAATGGAAACAATGTCAATATTAAACAGTGTGAATACAACGATAAGTGTTTTGGGGCCTAGACCAACACTGTGAATACAGCGATACGTGTTTTTGGGCCTAGACCAACAATGTGAATACAGCGATACGTGTTGTTGGGCCTAGATCAACAATGTGAATACAGCGATAGGTGTTTTTGGGCCTAGACCAACAATGTGAATACAGCGATACGTGTTTTTGGACCATGACCAACAATGTGAATACAGCGATACGTGTTTTTAGGCCATGACCAACAATGTGAATACAGCGATACGTGTTTTTTGGCCATGACCAACAATGTGAATACAGCGATACGTGTTTTTGGGACATGACCAACAATGTGAATACAGCGATACGTGTTTTTGGGACATGACCAACAATGTGAATACAGCGGTACGTGTTTTTGGACCATGACCAAGTTTTCAGCGTCGTCAACTTAATTGTCGTCATTCAGACGATACGATGATTGATATAAGCGTAATATTACGTGGGGTATTTACGCATATCAAGTAAGGTTTACTGACAAAATAATACTTTGTCCATGCAGAAAGCCAAATACATTCAGCATTTTACTGAACCATATGACCGTGTCTTCCATTTGGTCCAAGCTTCCTCGTGGAAGGGGAACAGCGCCAAAACCGCTGGGAAGGTGGAAAGGGGGACTTTATTTACATCCAACCAGTTACCTATTCGTGACAGTGTGGTTACACTCTATATCACTACGCGAAACGTCCCGTGTCGAGTGACAAATGAAGTATACAATTTCGTCACATCGTATTCGTTGTATAGGTAAATAATACAAATCGCTGAGTCAAAGCTTGACAAATGGACCAGTCAGTCTTGATACGGTGCGACAAGCTCATGCGTACATTATTTGTGTATAAAGTATTCTTTGATAATTGTTGGAAAGCTTGTATCGCAGTATTCTGTTGGTCACTTTGTTGTAATGCACTGTTTATTACATGTACCTTTTATTGCTTTATTCCTGTTTCAGTAAACTTGGATGCTGTAGCGACTCCAGGAGCTCATGATGTCTGTAACGAGATCATCTACCTCTCAAAGGACAACTCGTCCCAGGTAGAAGCCACCGAACGTGTCTCCCATGGCTACTGTGACGTCACATTCCGGACACTCTCCGACGCCAAGAACCATTGCAACCGTCTGTGCTTTATTCCTAAAAGTGACGCATGCGAAAAACACATTGACCTCAGTATTGTTGTCTTTTCTTTGGAGAACAAGAATAATGTGAAGGTTAGTATGATGACGTCATCGTGCAGTGGTATAACGTCATTTTTTTATATATATAACGACCTATTTTCGTCGTAATGATCTTTTAAGATTAATCAAACAAAAGGGGACAAATATCAGATAAGCCCAAAACATAGTGAAAATTATCAAATTTAACGCTATTAAGTTTAAAAAATCGTTTTCAATATATCTTCAAATTGACGTATGTGCTTGACACCGGAGAAAAACACAACTGCCTTATGTGTAAATGCATTTGACACACAGAGGCTCGTGTACACGAATGGTATATACTCAAAGGAGCCAGATATACCACTGAATAACATATTCGTACATTATCAGTTATACTAACCTCTAGAGATACACCATGTATGTATCTAAAACCAATGTCGTTCCTCGACATACATGAACATGTATCACAACAGGTTGATTCAGATGAATCAGATACACATATGGCTGTCATCCAGTTTCCACGCATACAGACAAAATAATCTTATTATGCTCAATCTACGACAATACATATATAATATTTAATTGGTAATGGATATCGAAATGTCAATTGAAACGTGTATGAGGCAATAATAGCGCCAGGGGAGACAATTCCATAGTCACGCCCATAGCTTGTGTTTCTCTATTGTACATTCATGTATTGATTTTTTTAAAGACGTTTTGCTGGAAAACCATCGTAAATTGTATAAATTGACTTTTATAGCCAACCATGTAAACAGACAGGATGAGAGTCTAGATGCTTTCTCGTATTATATCAACTTAAAATCGTAAACGTTTGATTTGCATATTAAAGGTCAGTCAGTATTCAATGAGTAAACATTTTATTTGAAAATTAATCGAATAAATAATTAAGTTTTAATGATTTAACTCGATTTAACAAAAGATTAGCAAATAGCAAAAATGTCACATCAAAGTATCCTTAACCAATCGAAAACAACCCTTTTATCACATGACAACGGCGTAAAATTTCACAGCATTAAGAGAACATATCTAAATCAAACTTCTTTCAAACTAATTATTTGAATTGCATTAAACAGCATGACGTCACACTATTGTTTTTATTATGACGTCACAAAGCTTACACAGTCAAATATATAAGCTATTTTCCGTCGCTAAGCTATATTAATAATCCGCCAATCACTTCTGAGATCAATGTACGTGAATTTTACCTTTCTTTCAATGCAGTATGTCAGTCTGTCTGTCCGGGTTTTTTGGTATCCACCTTTCTATAGACACTAGGGAGTCTGTGATGAGAATCACCAACATATGTAAGGTTGCGCCCGTCTGTCCATATTTCAGATATACGGTTGTCAGGACTTTCCGGGCAAGAAATGGTGTGTGAGTTCCACGTCTATGAAGGTCGCTGTACTGGAGCATATGAGAGGCGTGGCCTCAAAGCCAGCCGACCAGATCTACAAGTTCACTGCCGACGTGAAGGCGGAGTGCACGAAGATCAAGGATGTCTTCTGTACGTTAAGTTTGGAACCTTATGCTGTCTATTTCGGTGACAATATGTTTTAATACAAGTACAATGGTATCGTTTTCGAAACGCAAAGTTATTAGTATTTATGTTTCAATTAACACAGAAAAATTGCAATCTGATTAAAACTATATCCTTAATTCCACTCTATATACCAGTCAAAGGAACGTATAGACACGGAATTAGATTTGTTATCTAAGTCGGTGGTATAGAGTATCGGAGTGGAATTAAAAATCTAGTTTTGATAAGGTTGGATGTATTGTTTCCTTTATATTTGATATATTAGCCATTTCACCACTGTATACCATAGTGGACACAACCAGTTCAATACACTGTCGAGTTTCCTAAAATTGCGTAGGGGCCAAATGATTAGAAAATGTGATACAGTGAAATCGGAAACCGATGTCTATCGGTACGGAGTGATATCAGTTTATATAGGTAGCTAATAAGGTATACAGCAAAGCTTGTTTATATATACAATTGTTTTTGTAAGTGATAAGCAGTGATACCGATTAAGGATCCCTGACTACCGACAAGAGCTGTAACTACGCATCGGAAACTGATTTTTGATAAAGCTTTGAAAAGAATATTTTTGAAAAGAAAACCATACCTTGTGGGAATTTTATGGGAAAAAAGATAAAGATGAAATAAATAAAATATAATTACCAACAGTGTTCTGATGTAAAACAAATAAAAAAAATCAGCGGAGCTAGACCGGTATTCGAACCCTGGACCTTAGATTATAACCGGATGAGCTACCCATAGCTGCCCAACTGTGCTACATTTTATTTGCAAAATAAAATTAAGGGGAGGTTACTTTATATTAAAATCCGCAAGTACAATGAGACAGAGGTCTTTAAATGACATATTTGTTTATGATTTTTTTTATGAAAATTCAGTGTTGTGGATAATTGTATAGGATATCGCGAGTCCTAAACTGTAAGTATAGATACAAACTAGCTTAATCCTAACCCCATTTTGCATCCCATCCACCAACCCCGGATCCTACCAATCATATAACTTTATTGGTATCGCTCTTATGTGTTAATTTTACAACCTAAACTGGGCCGTTGACCACTGTCCACTTCCCTCCACAGCTAAGGACTGGGTGACCACTAATGAGACGAAGCGTTACCGGGCCAAGGTGGAGGGCATCGTTGTTGGCTGCTGCCTCGCTCTTATCTTCCTAGTGGTTCTCGTTGTTATGGTATTTTACTACAAATCCAAACCCAACCAGAACCCCCTTGACGACAATACGGTCAAGGTCAAAGGTAAGCGATGACATCACTTCCGTTTTCTGATTTAAGGAACACCCTTTAACCTATATTATTTATTAACTTGACTTCATATTCTAACTTTATACATGTGATGTATCATTAACTACTAGAATATATCACTGCTGTGATGTGGACAGGGAAATATCAACCAAGAGGATGCGCTCATTTAGGTTCAGCACTTAAGAGTTGTGCTGAACCACAAAAATGTTACCCGCGGGTGATATTTCTCCGTCTCGATCACCTGTTTGATTAATTATTCTCTTTCCCATACTTTCCAGCCGTAAAAATACACCAAATTGTAATCCTGAATGAACCCAAAAGCACTGTGCCATTATCAGTGGCAAGGAAACGTGTGACAAAAGTGATGACGCGATCCTATCGTGGTATAGTTACCATGGTAACGCTTCATTAAATGAGGTAGTTTGATGACGCAATCATTTTGTAAAGTTCTGAAATTTTAAAAAGAAAAGCGTCAGTGATATGTCTTTATCTTGGTAGATCAAATTGAAACCGTTCTCGAACTCTAATGTGGATTTTGTGCTCAGACTTTCTTGTAACTCGTTAAAACCATTTGATACAGTAAAATGTCCAGTGAAAAATTAACAAGAAGCCCAAATCGGCCTGCATCGCTCACCTGGTATTAATTTCCCACTTGTAATCTTAAAGATGGACTAAAATACAGCTTCAGGCAGAATATCAGTGTTTGATTCATTAGAACCTTTTAAAAGATTTAAACATATGACGCCTGTGACCTTGAATGTCGAACAAGGACATTAGGTTTAACAGACTTTTTAGTTTTCCAACCCAGCATGCTTCTGGCAAAATATCATTTACCCCGGACCTTTCGTTTATACAGAACAAAACATTAAAAGATTTAAACATTTCAAACATATTGACTACTGTGACATTGAATATCGGCGAAGGTCATTCACTTGGTAGTCCTTCATCCCAGCATGTTAATGGCCAAATATCACCACCCTTGACCTTTTGCTTATAAAGAAGTCGTTTAAAGGTTTTTAACATATTTTATCCCTGTGACCTTGAATATATGTCAAGGTCATTCATTTGAACAAACTTGGTAGTCCTTCATCCCAGCATGTTAATGGCCAAATAACACCACCTTTGACCTTTTGCTTATAAAGAAGTTGTTTAAAGGTTTAAAACATATTTAACCCATGTGACCTTGAAAAAAGATGAAGGTCATTCATTTAAACAAACTTTGTAGCCCTTCATCCCAGCATGCTACTAGCCAAATATCATCACCCTAGGCCTCTTGGTTATTCATAAGAAGTTCTTTTAAAGGTTGTTAACATATTCAACCCTTGTGACCTTGAATATAAGCCAAGGTCATTCATTTGAACAAACTTGGTAGCCCTTCATCCGAGCGTGTTACTGGCAAAATATCAACACTTTATATCTGTTGGTTATTCAAAAGAAGTTGTTTAAAAAAAGAAATTGGACGAACACGGTTGTCCTTTATTCCAGCATGCTACAGGCCCAATATCAGTACCCTGGGCCTTTTGGTTATTGAGAAGAAGTCGTTTGAAGATTTTAACACATTAAACACCCCTGTGACCTTGAAAGTGAGTCAAGGTCATTCATTTGAACAAACTTGGCAATCTTTCATCCCAGCATGCTACAGGCCCAATTTTAGTACCCTGGGCCTTTTGGTTATTGAGAAGCAGTCGTTTGAAGATTTTACGACATTTGACCCCTGTGACCTTGAAATTGGGTCAAGGTCAATTCATTTGAACAAACTTAGTAGCCCTTCATCCCAGCATGTTATATGCTCAATATCAGTACCCTGTGCCCTTTGGTTATTGAGAAGAAGTCGTTTGAAGATTTTACGTCATTTGACCCCTGTGACCTTAAAAGTGGGTCAATGTCATTCATTTGAACAAACTTTGTAGTCATTCATCCCAGTATGCTATAGACCCAATATCAGTACCCTGGGCAATTTGGGTATCGAGAAGAATTCGTTTGAAGATTTTGAGACATTTGACCCCTGTGAACTTGACAGTTGGTCAATTTCATTCATTTGAACAAACTTGGTAGCCCTTCAACCCAGCATGCTATAGACCCAATATCATTACCCTGGGCATTTTGGTTATTGAGAAGAAGTTGCTTGAAGATTTAACGACATTTGACCCCTGTGACCTTTAAAGTAGGTCAAGGTTATTCATTTGAACAAATTTGGTAGTACTTTATCTGAGCATAAAGTACTTTAGAATTGAAAACGTTAATGTAAACTAGAGACAATAACGAACAATTTTCATATAACTTTCATTCACATAATAATTTATAACATATGTTATGAGACCATAACACAGGCGTAGTGACATATCCACGTTATCAAGCTATGCACATTTGAAAAATCAAGTAAATTAATTTATATTTCAATAATTAAGTCAGCAGTGGGGTCCCTTTACATAATGTACAATCAATGTAGCAGCAATCTCCACTTGCCGCATATATTTCGTAGCTTTAAGTCGGGGAACACATCAAACAATGGCGACGCATTTGAAGAGGAAGCATAACATTTCGTCATCCTGTATCGTATCAAAAAGTATCGTATCGTGGGTAGATATCGTGATACGTATCGTATCGTGGCATAGGTGTATCGTTACAGCCCTATTAGTTATTGTGCATTGTTCTATTTTAACATAAAATTATATTTCAAAATGCATTCACAAGCATAATATATTTGATATTTTCGGTGAAATAGCTGTTTAATAAATACCCATTCTTATATAACAATATTTACTTACGAGAAAGTGGCGGTTTCTACTAGTCAATTATGTAAAAGAAACAGGTAACAGATTTTGCGTGTGAACAATCATTCCCATGTTCCTGATGTGTTTCATCATTCATGTTTTTGATTACTGCAAACCTTTGGAATGACATTTTTGCAGTGTGAAAATATTTTTGGTTTTTGCTAGTTTGATTTGGGTGCAATTGTATTCAATTTTTCGGGTGTCTACCATTAAATTAAACATTTTCATCACCAATTACATTGTACACGTAATTATCCATATTTATCCGTGGAGAACTTGAGATATAACAAGTGTAAGCATTTATATATGTGTACGTTGAAAGATATGCACGTGTGCATGTATATTTACATATATTTACATATATGTGCTGTGCATTGCCACTATATAACACTAACAAAGCTAGTACCATAACACAGGCGTAGTGATATATCCACGGGTCCGACTAACTTCCCGATCGCTATTCCCCTCCGCACTAGCAAGCTAAGCAGATAAGCAAAACAAACTCACTATGATTCAATAATATTCATCGTTTTATGTAAGATTATTATAAAATGTGATTTGAACATATTGATTGATTAAATTATGGAAATTGTATCAATACTTGTGTATATTTCCACGAACTTTATTTTTTACGGGGAAAGTCACGAGACAACACGCCGTGAGCAATTTCATGTGCTGTTCTACCTCTTGAACAGACACCGCGAAAGTCGAATTTAAAAGTACGTTGTGAACTCAGAATTGAAAATTCAACAAATTAAAAAGTTGTAAATATAAGCATAAAACAGCATTCTGTTCCGTGTAATGGTCCTATAACAGGATGGTAGACAAAAATGTTTAATGCTAAAATGTACACAGGTCATACACAACAGTTATAATGGGATCGATACAAGTATAATTTGCGAAAAATACCATTTCTAGGATCGATCTTGATCATGATGAAAGGCCCGTGTGTGTTTGTGCTGTGAGTACGGATTAACCGAGTTACGTCCAGATATTGATTGACAATGCTGTTATGTTATGACTCACAGTCATTGCATGCATCGTTGAATAATACATGAATGCAGATATTACCGCATGTGTAGTTCTTATACCGATAATGTTATTGATCATTGCTAAAATTCAATCCTAAGCTGTTAAGATAACATCCATTTGAGTTGTTTAAAAAGTTATTTTTAGAATATTTGTTTAAGGAGAAAGACAACACTGACAACATATTATGGTTAGTTTAGCAATGTTACTCTATTGTGTGTTATTTGAAATCATTCAAATATATAACAATTTTATGAAATTTATTTTTGAATAGATATCATGAAGTGTAAACGGAACTTTTTGAAATTTATTTTTAATCTTATGAAACGAGCATTTAATACAATTACTTTGCTAATACTGCTATGAAAAAGTTCTTATCATCAGGGGAGATAATCTGGTAAATTGACGTTCCGATGATTTCGGGAAATATATATATATACATCAATTTTGGAAAGTAAGAAAACATATTGTTCACAATAATTGAAGTTTAAACTTTTCACAAATATTGTCAGTGAAGTCATTTAAATGCCAAAAATATTAAACATTAAACATGAGCCCATCTTAAGTACCTGTCTCAACACTTATATTTTTCGGGTCGAACGCTACACTGTATAACCTCAAACTCTATCATCCGGTTGCGTACGTATATATGCTATACCATTTTGTAACTAGTCACAAAACCTTCCTCTTACCACGCAAAGAAACCACATGTGCCTAGTGCAACTTCAACTTGTTATCGTGTTGTTTTAAGGAATCGAAATACAATGAGATTTACGTATACTAACAAATTGACTTTATCTTATTTTGCCATTTGTTATTCATAAGAACAAATACAAAACTTTTTAATTACCTTTTTAAAAAAATCTTAAATTCAAGGGATCGCTTGAACAAATTTTAACCAATCTTAAATGATTTTTTGAAAAAAAAAATACATTTCTGTCAAGAGTATTTGAGCTTCAGTTTTTGCATACGTGCGCGTGACGTCATAGTGCCCCGGTGCCTTTTTTATGATTAAAAAAAAAACAATTTGACGTCACAATATTGTGGCTCGGACCCAATAGCTAATTGATTTAAACATATATTTTATTGATATAATCAAATGGATTAGGCACAAGTTATAACAACTTATAGAAGCCCTCTCCTTAAGTATGATATTACAATGCTAGCGATAGCGACATATGCCAATCAAATTAATTGTATGAAAACAAGGAACATGGAAGAAAAAAAAATAAACATAAAAAGAGAGTTTTGAATGACAGAAGAGATCATAGAGATGAGTAGAGTATATTTTGAATGATACAAAAGGTTCATTCAAAGTATGAATATTTTTAAACTACTTCCAGGAAACAAATCAAAGCGCCATGCAGCGGAATCATTTTAATTTGAAAAAGAATATATATATATATATATATATACAATTTGCTGAACCAGTAACACTTTAATATTCTATAGACCTACAAAGCAGAATGAGAGGTTTAGGAGAGAAGACATTATGACAGATTAGATAGATATACCTGTTCACACGAAGTTTTGTTTAGAAACGGTCACTTGAATGAATAAAAGTCTGAACAATTTCAAAAATACGCTCATTGTCAACATTTGACAATTCAACATTTCCAGACAATAGTATAGTAACTCTAGGTGCACTTCCCACTAGGACGGAATGCATACTTACACATCACGAGGGCTGCACTCATCCTTGATACTCCAGGAATTGTGCAGACAGCGTACCTAGAGTATCGTAGATGGGCTGCACTCTGTACCGCGTGTAATTCCTGGAACGAATTCGAAGGAAGGGGGTTAACTCGAATTTCGATAATGCAAAGCAACCATGCACGATGCCACTAATATAAAATCGCAGTAAACACAATTCGTTATCCGGGATTTGGGGTCGCATGTACGTTACTAGGTTCCATGTTCGGATGTCCTTTTACCATAAAGAAAGCAAATTGTCCAATTAAAACAATCATTAATTGTTTATATACATGTATCATAAAATACATCTACCAGCCTGATTTGGTTATTAGAATATAACTTTTCTTAGCCAGAATAATTATTAAGATACTGTATAAATCGAAAGAATTGTTGGGGCTTTTTTTCTTGTGTCACAGATGAAATTGCTTTTTTAATCAATATTAAGTTGTTTGAAGTTGTTATTATTTTTTTTTATATATATATAGTTTCCGCTTTCACCGGTATCCGGGAGACGTTGAAGGTCGGCAAACGGAAACGGAAACCATCAAAACGTCACTCCCGTCCACCGTCCCGACAGCCATCAGTCATGTCACATCGTTCGGGCATTTCCGCCAGTTACGAAGCTGCCCGAAGAATGTCGGAACCAAGAACGGAACTGACGCCACCGGAATTGATGCTAATTCCGAACGGAAGTGAAGTGACTGGTTCCACATCCACACTTCCGGTGGAGTCAGAAACGAGGCCCCTGTGTGCAGACATCCCTTAGACAACTTTCTGGTGTGATAAACGTTCACTTGTAAAACGAAGCGTCCGGGTCCTCCAGCGAAGATGGTTACATGTACATTGTGAATAGCCTACAGTGAGAGGATGACGTGAAAATATCTCGACAGAAATATGTCATCTAAAAATTAAAGAGATCGACGGCAAAAGGGAGGTCAACCATGTTTAACATGAGACAAGAAAGATAACTCCTATAACATCAGCGTATATTGAAGGGGAGATTATCAAAACTTTTTTATTCTATGCATGGAATGAAGCTCAAACATACGGAAACTTAAACCCTAGCAAGAAAACGAAAGATGTTTTTTCCCATTTTATAAGCACATCTTTATTAAAAGTTTTTTTATGAGTGTGACAGAATGTATTGTTTGATGCTGAAAAAGTATGTGGTTGAGTTAAGAGGAATTTTGCAGAGTGAGTGCGTTTACCTTTGTTTTGTTTTTTGTTTTGAATACTTAAAAATTGCACATGAGTGAATTTTACTAAGCTGTTAAAGTGTGAGGCTAGTCGGATGCACATAACAGCATTGGGATCCATAATCACAATTCATCGTGAGAACGTAAGCAGACAATCCTGAAATTGATTAAAACGCTTCACTACAAAATGAAACAAAAAGCTTGGTCCAATTTTTGCGACGGCGAACCAAAAATGAGAATTTTACATACAAACGAAAAGAATTTCAAGAGTTACCTCGTGAAAATGATAACAAAATGTTAGGGTTTGTTTTACATGTACCAATGGTGTACTTACATGTGCAAGTGTGATGATGAAACACACACAAAGTGTGAAATATTTGAAATGCTATCTCACCCGATCATACACTTAGTATCAATCGCCCATCTATAATTACGTTCTAGACATTTAATCCCATCCTATTGTAATTACAGTTCCTAAAGATTTTATCACATATAGATGTCAGCAACGATACAATGTGTTTATGTGAAAGAATCGTAGGAGAACGCTTATAAGGTATCACTTTAACTGGATTTGTTACACCCTATCGGCGAACAGAATTTAATATTAAATGATATTCGTTTGTTACGTTTGAAGGTTTTGTACAGATTTTCTGTTGTTGTTGTTGTTGTTGTTGTTGTTGTTGTTGTTTATTTATTAAACTACAAATGTGTCGTTCAAATGCCAGAACGAAATATGAAGAGAGTGTAAATGCGTTTGATGAATTGTTTTTATGCAATCAAGTTATTCACGACGTATATTTATCCTTTTGCATCCCGTTATCCACAATCATATTTGGATTTTCTACATCAGTTGTAATGTTCATGAAATGTACAAAACAAATCTAAACCCGATATTGTCAGTAAGTTTTTTCAACATTGTATGTACCATTGTCAGATCCTGAAATATATCTCCTGGGCTCTAGGGCGGTTGAGGAGGTAGTGGTTGGGGGTTTAATGGGTTTAAAAGGTGAAATACATTTTTTTGTGTGCGTGGGACTTACTGAAACTACAAAAAACAGGAAGGCTCCTGATGCTCATTCTGGAATTAATACGAGCATTATAGTGACGGAGATTTCAGGTATAAACTAATAGCTTTTTATAATATTACACGAAATAAAATGTCATCATCAGTGTTAATTCATTAACTCAGTCTCACAAGATACGAAGAAAATGTCAAATGGACACGCCGACCAGATAATGTCATATATAGTGTTTTTTGACAATATCCGAGTCCCGCGATTAGACGTTTAACAGAACGTTTGTTGGATTATCTTAATTAGGAGGAACTGCAGTCAACCGATGTGTTCAGAATTGTGGGAAAAGCGTACTTTTTTATGCGTAGATAGTTTTATACATAATTTCTCCTTTTTGGGGAATATGATATTCGTTTACTTTTATTCTTGTTTCAGTCAAATGTACGCCTTCCTGATGTTTTATTCTCAACTTTACTTGTCAGATTATAAATGACATTTGTTTAAATGCTGTCATGTAACGGCACGAGGAAATGCGACACAATTATTCAATTATCATTTATTTCCATATGAAAATATGATATCGCATACCCAAAAATATTTTACATACGCAATATTAATGTTTAGCATATGGCACAGCAGAATTCGATTAATACAATATTGGATATATAAGAATAATTTTCAGTATGTGAAATTCATTTTTTGGGTACACAATGTTATTTGTATGTGCAAATATTCAGTTGTGTGACGCACATCCCTCGCCATGTCATTTTCATTTGTACGTATACATGTATGATGAGGTGTAATTACTCTTCGTTCCACAATGTCACTCGCACGCGAAATACTCAATATCGTGTAGTAGATAGCCCAGTCATTATCGAATGTTACCAAAGGTCGATTGTTTGACATTATCTCTTTATGTGTATCAGGCTAAACGGTTACCATGGCGATGTCGACAGTTTTTGACTAATTGTCGGTCACATTTCATAAACAGCCAATGTGTAATCTGTTCATATTCCAGGAATACAGAAGTCAGACCTAAAGGGTACGATACCATTGATCAATCGTTCATCATGTTTTACCAATGCAAATTGCAATCAATATTCGGTCAGTTCCGGTATACATCGGTTTCATTTACGATGTTTGTCGGAAATGGCCGATGTAAAATTCGCCATGCGTTAGATCGATTGCAAAGAGTAACCATAAACTGACATGAAGAACTTTTTGCATATTGTATATGAAACATAATACAATGTATATATATGAATCTGCTCCTATCATACCTGTTAACTTTTGTACTGGTTCACTATTTTGCATAGGCAACTATACAGACAAATCAGGACGTCAACGGTTTGTTTTGCATTAGGTTGAAATTAACATTTAATCTGCATCATATTTCACTTTTTACATATTCATGGTTGTTAGTGTAATAAAAACCAAACCTTTTCTTAAATTGGTAATGATCTTTTTATGAATTCAATATTGACCCAACGATTTGAGTAATACTTTAATTTTGTGTACAATTTGTATTTAATATTTGGAATTTTTTACATGTTTATCTTTATTAGCGAACATGAGCCATCATAAAAGAAGAAGGATGAAATCTGTATGTAATCGGGCACAGGGACCTGAGAATTTGTTATGGTTAAGCTATTGTTGGACCTAAGGATGTAGTGACGTCACATGATGATTTTTTCATGACGTCATCATCGTTCAGATTCGAGTAGATCTGACAATTTCATATCTTTATCTTAGCGATAGTCGAGTGATAAATACAAGTATTATTCATTTATCGGAAAACCTCAATGGAAGGTAGTAAATAATTAAATAAAGCATCAGATACCTGATAAACAGAATGTGTTCTTCAGCAATTAGTTTCAAAACGAGTTAAAGATTACTAAATCAATAAATGCTATCGGTGGAGGCTTAATTGTATATAATTTTATTGTAGATTAAGTATATATGTTACTGAAATGTTTCCCTTTTCTCTTGCTTGAACATTTTTTGCTATTAAACATATTTCTTAAACAACTGTTTTAGTTTTATCTATCAGAACAAATACATTGTTTAAAAGTACTGGGTTATTGTAAATATTATCATTGCACCTTATTTCTCAAAAAGATATCGTCCGAGAGAAATCGGACAAAAAACAATATGACGTGCCAAAATCACAAAGACGAATTGAAAAAGAGTAACAGTGGTTTTCAAAACATGTTTGTGTCTTATGCTGTATTAAGAAGTATTCATTTATTCATGGAAGTGTAATGCATATTGGCAACGTTCGGACATCCTTTGTCTTTGCCTCGAGCGACAATTTTCACTTTGGTTTGACAATTGGCACTGTCACCTTCAATGTCACAATAACTTTTACAGAGAATCCGATAATCTGCAGTAACAGCTAAAATACAAGAATTGAGCCTACACGAGCGTGAACGTATTTGTTCACAGTAATTCCCAAAACACATGTTGCACAAATTTAATAAACCAACGCTTACAAAAAAATGGAAGATGTTTCTAAAGAGAATCTGTGACGCCATTTCGACTTCTAATGGAGACGGAGTGTTTTATATATGTAGAAATATGAAATCAACTATAACCTTTACACATACAGGGCGAATGTACAGAACAGCTGTGTATCAGATAGTTCTGTTGAAAGTACAGCTGCCAGCAAGCTAGCCCTTCCTCAGACAATTATCCAACGAACAACATACTTTCATACAAAAAGGCAAAGAGAACACGAATCCTTGCCCCGCCAAATACTCGTTATCAATGTATCTGTAATAACATCGCCGAGCGGAGTACTCAGTCCAGCCGTTTTGCCACGGAGAATATGTGCACATTGTATATATGTATACATCGCGGCACGCATCTGTTCCGCAATCAATGAACATTAGCTTTGTCCGACACGCGAGCGCCACGCGCTGCGAAAGCCTGACCATCGATTCATTCGTTTGTGGAATTTTGTTTATTGGCGATGTAAGTATTGATGCTACACTTACGATTTTTTGTGGAGTTTTTTAAATGATATTCCGAGAAACGATTTTTTTTACGGATGATGCACTTTTACGGCAAATGTTACAGGTATTACGGTCACAAAATACAGTTAATTAAGTTTCTTGTAAGGGACGTTTGTAAATTGATAATATATTTTAGATCTGTTTTGACAGCAATTTTTTCGTACATTATACACCATTAACAAAAGCGGATCCAGGTGTGGGACATTATAGGCACGCGCGTTATCTACTCTCTAAAATCGGTCGTATTAGTGTGTGTTTGTGTGTGTGTGTTTGTATGTGGATTTATCTCTGAATTTGGTCAATGACCTTTCACATTTAACTTCTTGACGGAGAGGGCGTTGTTCAACTCAACAACAGATGTGGCACCTGATAGAACAGCATGTTACATGAAAATAAATGGTGAAATTGTCGAAATTTTGCAGAACTTAAGTTTTCACCATGCTGTCTTCAAAGGCATATTTTCTGACATCATTTCCTGTTTCTCCTTTGAATTACATACACGATACATAATTCCGGATTACCGAAAGTTCCAGAAATACTAATTTTCGGAGAATTATTTGCAAGAATGTTAAATCTTCAAATTGCCAATATCAAACATACACACATGAGTAGATGACATGACCCAACATAAATGTTAAACAGACATTGTGAAAGACTCATTAGGAACAAAACAATACACAAACGAGTCGTGAAGTACACGTGTTATTCCATTTCAAGTATTATTGTTGAAAATAAGCTTACCAGAATTACCGCTCTGGTACTTTATTACATAGTTTGTGTTGATCAAGTGGTAATGGTGTGTGACTTAAAGTCCGGAAATTGTGTCTCAAATGATAGGGTATAACCGTCGCCAAAAGTGAACGACGAAAAGAGCCGAAACATGTCGTTCTGAGTGTAGGCACGTGATTTGGGGTGATTTCCCCGGGAAGATTATGAGCGACAAAAGGTGTAGGGACGTGATTACTGTCTGTGCACGTTCCAGCCTGCCAGGGAGGTCGAGACGTACATGGTTTTTCACTTTCCTGTAATCTATACATGTCTGTTGGCATTGATTCGACAATTTTTGCCGATATTAACCGATATTTGCCGAAGATTGTCGAAGGTCGGCGAACATTAAACAAACAAAATTAACCGAAATAAATAATTTCGTTTTAATTTATTTATGTTTTGTCCGAAATAGCTAGTCCCATTTTCTATCAAAGAAAAATAAACTAAGATTTACTTTATATCTATCGCAGCTGGTAAACCTATAGCGATGTGGGATAGGTAGATTGGTAAACCTATAGCGATGAGGGATAGGTAGATTTGTAAACCTATAGCGATGTGGGATAGGTAGATTTGTAAACCTAAAGCGATGTGGAATAGGTAGATTGGTAAACCTATAGCGATGTGGGATAGGTAGATTGGTAAACCAATAGCGATGTGGGATAGGTAGATTGGTTAACCTATAGCGATGTGGGATAGGTAGATTTGTAAACCTATAGCGATGTGGGAAAGGTAGATTTGTAAACCTATAGCGATGTGGGATAGGTAGATTGGTAAACCTTTAGCGATGTGGGATAGGTAGATTAGTAAACCTATAGCGATGTGGGATAGGTAGATTGGTAAACTTATAGCGATGTGGGATAGGTAGATTGGTTAACCTATAGCGATGTGGAATAGGTAGATTGGTAAACCTATAGCGATGTGGGATAGGTAGATTTGTTAACCTATAGCGATGTAGGAAAGGTAGATTTGTAAACCTATAGCGATATGGGATAGGTAGATTGGTAAACCTATAGCGATATGGGATAGGTAGATTAGTAAACCTATCGCGATGTGGGATAGGTAGATTGATAAACCTATAGCGTTGTGGGATAGGTAGATTGGTAAACCTATAGCGTTGTGGGATAGGTAGATTGGTAAACCTATAGCGATGTGGGATAGGTAGATTGGTAAACCTAAAGCGATGTGGAATAGGTAGATTTGTAAACCTATAGCGATGTGGGATAGGTAGATTGGTAAACCTATAGCGATGTGGGATAGGTAGATTGGTTAACCTATAGCGATGTGGGATAGGTAGATTTGTTAACCTATAGCGATGTGGGATAGGTAGATTTGTAAACCTATCGCGATGTGGGAAAGGTAGATTTGTAAACCTATAGCGATGTGGGATAGGTAGATTTGTAAACCTAAAGCGATGTGGAATAGGTAGATTGGTAAACCTATAGCGATGTGGGATAATTATCTAGATTTGGTAGATTTAGACGCTATTGTGGTATTGCAGATTGTCGCCATCATGGTTGACGCATTTAAAAATTGATAACTGATTGATTTGTTTTTAATTATAAGTACAATATAGCCTTGGAGTAAGTAATTTAAAGAAAAATGTCAATTACTATTGTGAAACCACTTTTAGTTATCACTCGGAGCAAATCCAATATGGCTGCCGTTCGGTTTTTTTCTATTTGAAAGATAATTTCATGTGATGCTTTGGAATGCTTTCAAATTGCCCATGGACTCGACGATTAGTTAAAAATAAATATACGTACAGTGTATAGTACTTTCACATTTGTCCAAACAGCATCACGATTTTAAAAAATGGCGTTTGCTGAACTGAACAGTCGTTTACAATACAACTTCAGAAATGAGTTGATGAATCGTGACCATACAGTAAGTGAGAGAAGAGGGGAACATTAAGATATATGAGGTGTCCGTAGATTTACTACACCTGTGTCCAGTGCCTGAGGAAAGTGAACAGCTCAGTGTAATGTGGTGTCCAAACTGGCCTACAGGACAACATCACAATATATATGTACAGGTAAAGTGATACCATAAATGTTGTTCTACGGTGAATGAGGACCTTCTAAAGATAACCTTACGTCTTTATATCAAAAACCATCTTCAAATACATATATCTGTTGCACGTAACTCCAACCAAGCTCAGCATCAGCTGGTAATATACAAAGTGTGCGAACAAATACGTTAGATGAAAATACTTTACCACGGAGTTAGAGTAGACCCTCTAAGTCCTTGACTTTACCAGAGACGCATTATATACGTCTCTGACTTTACCTAGAAATAAAAAAAGTATTTATTAGTTCAAGGTGCACATATGGTTACATGCAAGTTATACATGTATTATAAATGATATTTTATCCCAATGAAACCGTTTGCGATGATTATAGGCCTCAGATTTATTGTGGCAAATTATGAAAATTATCCTTGAAATATTTTGAATTTAAATATTTTCATAAATGTTGTAAATATATAAAAAGGATGGCTCATATATTCCTATGGATTTGACTCCGGTACGTTAGAATGCATTTTTATTGTCATTGTTTATTTTATATTATTTGTCATTATTCCTTTATGCCTTATCATAACGATTTCTTATGTAAAGCTTGCTGTTCCTTCTGAAGATGACACATAATTAATTGATTTTCACATCAGATATGCTTGTTAATGTCAATCAAATTGACCTTATCCGTGATATAACGCAACAGGATTGGTATAACAGCTTACCTTGTGGCTACTGATCACCACAGGCAATCGACAACTGCAATTGATGACATCTGTCAATCAAATATCAAATAATTGATATGTATAGTGTATTAAATAAGTCTTTTGTAAGGTAGTAAGGATCTCGACTTTGTACGGAACCTATCGAGGACATTTTGGATAGACGATATATCTCGCACAACCCAAAGGAAGCTACATATACTTACCCTACATCAGAACATGCACGTAGAAACGTTCCCATATTTTGGATACGTCAGCCTCTGAACCCGAATGCGACATACGGACACAGTTTTCATAGGCAAAACGTTCTTCCTTCGTGCATTGTTAGTGTAGTTCCCGATCATCACAGTAAAAGCGCTTAAAATTATATGACTTGACAATAGTTTCATTCAAATTGTCCCGTTACCGTTGACTACAGCGTAAAAAAAATATAAAATGGTAAAATAATGAATAAAAATCTGCATTCACGATTTGGGCCTGAAGGACATTGTATGCCCGATCAACGGTTTGATTACGCGAAAGCAAACGATTATTGACAAATCTGTAGGCCAAACAGAGTAAATCCCATTAGGGCGCCTTACGGTGCCATTGACACCTCTGTAGGGGCTCGTCCATCCGTGTCAACATCTGTTGGCTAACAAGGGGCCAGCGAATCCCCTCCGCCAACTCAGACAACGGACCCCATACAAAGCTATTAGAGGCCTACGAAGGAACACCAGAAATTATTTTCCGAAATCAAACATGTAAAATTCATTTAAATTTGCAATCGTAACTTTGCTAAACGATTCAGTTTGAATACTATATATTTTTTTTTACAGTACTACTATTCTTTTTTTTTTTTTTAAATATTCCCCCTTGCTACCCTCTTTGGAATACATGTAGAGTAGTAGTGTAAGCGGTGCTGCGGTGACGTAGAAGGCAGCGACAAAGATGCTAGATGCGTGAAAGAAAATAGGTCGCGTTTTCCATCAGCGCATGTGTGTACGTATACGTTCCATTAACAAGGTCCAAGTTAGGGACGCTGCAAGCCAAGGTCAAGACAGAGGTATGTACATATCATTTAATAATGTTGTGTTTAAGAATAATTTATTAGCTCCTGAAGACGCCATATTTTATTTATTCAGTGTCCATTTCGTTTGTTAACGGTCAAAGATGGACTTCAAGACAGCGCCGGTTTTAACGATGATGTGAAATGCCGGTCTGAGTGTGACTCACGGGCATAGAAAATTAACAATGGCCATTATGCGTATAGCATCACAACCGTAAACTGGTAACGTTCTATTTTGTTCGTCTGTTCGCCTGAGGAGTCTCACGATAATGTACAGATATTATCATTTTTCGAAGATTAAATGCACGTGGTTTATTTGAAATGTATGATTGATTTTAACAACGGCGATTATCAATGTAATCTACAAGGCCCTGATTTAAATTGAACTGTGTACGACCGAGTCGTGAGACTAGAAATCGTTTACTTTGGTTTTCCTGAAGTCGTTTCTCTAAAAATAGTACACGAGAAGATGAAATACCAAAGGTCACCCTTATAAATGGTATTCGTGGAATGATGATGGATTATACACATCGTAACTTGTCGTAAAGCAGCCGATGGGATGTTTATTGTAATAAGTTTTTAATTGGAAATAGCAGGGAAATCGTGTGAGATCGTAGATCAATTGGTTCGCAGGGATTGAATTCACTCGCACAAAAAGCTGCTGTGGCTGAAAACCATGTGTGTATATATATATTTTGACTAAAGTCTGTTTCAGAAAACTGTTCCCGTTGAAATGCGGGGAAACTTTGATGCCCTAATAATATTGATGTAGGGGAGGTTCAGGAAGGAGAAGTTCATATTGTGAAATTCCTTATTAATTAAACTGATTCTGTGTCACTGTTTGTTACTCTATAGGTCACAGTGGTAGTGTTACTCTATACGTCACAGTGGTAGTGTTACTCGGTAGGTCACAGTGGTCGTGTTACTCTATATGTCACAGTGGTAGTGTTACTCTATATGTCACAGGGGTAGTGTTACTCTATAGGTCACAGTGGTAGTGTTACTCAGTAGGTCACAGTGGTAGTGTTACTCTATATGTCACAGTAGTAGTATTTCTCGGTAGGTCACCGTAGTAGTATTACTCTGTAGGTCACAGTGGTTGTGTTACTCGGTAGGTCACAGTGGTAGTGTTACTCGGTAGGTCACAGTGNCAGTTCACTCTGTGTAAACGTTATGTAAATACGTAGCTCTATAATTCACCCTGTGTAAAATTATAGCTCTATAGTGTATGTAGTTCCACAACAGGACTAAGACGGGCATGTAGTTGTAGGGGTATATCGATAGGTTATGATAATAATTTGGTAATACTTTTAGTCGTAGTTCCGGTCTGTCTTCCGTAACGCCCTTTAGAATATAGCACGTATAAAAACCTATAGAGGAACTCTAACTAGCAGTGAGTTGAAGGTTATATGAAACTTGTTATATTTGAACAAACTTGGTGACAGCTAACAAAGGGAAGAAGTACATTTGTAAGTGGCTTGTTATCTAGGATTTTCTTAATAGCAACATAGGACACACAAGACATTTTTACCAGCGTACTTGTAGTCTAAACGTTTCATTTATAGCTGACTATACATGTAGGTGCGGCTCCAAGTACCACAGTTATATATAACACGACGTCTCGATAGCAACAACTTCCCGGCAGTGATGTAGAGATGTTTTTTATCACGCTTGAATCAGTGATTGGTGAATCACTTGTGTGGTTGTGAGTGACAATCGGGGAGGGTGTTGTTTGTTTTCATGAAACATTACGGTAAATATACAAAAATGTATATTGCTAGTGTTTTTCTTTGGAAATATTAAATTGCAAATAAATCCTAATAATCGTATACACAGGGTTATGTATAACAAATAGTAAATAATTTGGCTCCATTTAAAATTTCAAAAATAACGATATCTCAAGCAGTTTTTAATGGATTAATTTCAAACTTCAAAGGAAGGTTCCAACAAGTTCATTAGCCGCAATTTTCGGACCGTAATTTACGGAGTTATGGCCCTTTATTATTTTGCCCAAACAGTGTCTGCTCGATATATCGAGTAGTTTTCAACGGATTAACTTCAAACTTCATAGGAAGGTGCATTGCCATGATAGCTCGAATAACTCTGATAAAAAACATTGCCCAACCGTCATTTATGGAGTTCTGACCCTTTATGTACAACCATACTGTTCTTTCAATGTATAACTGACGAATTATGTTCCGCTTTCACAGTACCTCAAGTGTAAAACATACTGAAAGGAAGACATGTAACTGAGACCTCATACATGATTCTGCTTGTACGACACTAGATAAGGTCTGTGTTATAATACACAAAACTGCCCAGCCTGGAGGTGATAGGCTTTGGACTCCAGATTGTGTCTTAAATACCTAAACACATGTAGATTATAGCTTAATTAGTCCCTTACAAATAGAATCCGGTATCACTGTTTACGTTAGCGTATAAATAAACCGCAGGTCTAAAGAACACTCGAAACTAAGTACCTAGTACACTTATGTACGGCATTCAAACTATTCCCAATAATACTGTACCAGTTATACTTCCGACTGGTCACATATTGTCCACTTGTAAACATTGGGTCCTCCGGGCATTAGTGGTCAGCCCGTAAATGGAGTAAGTACAAAGTAAATGTAAAATATGTTTGTGTAGAGGTCATGACAAAACTAGAATATGACCAACTGGCCAGATACGACACTTAAATTCATGATAACTGACCGGCTTCTTGAAAGCTTGTAACACGTAGAAGAAAAAATGTTTGCCTTTTGCTAGGAAAAACTTCAAACCAAACTTTCTTATACCGAACAATGGCCTGTGCCAGTTATGTAACAGACACTTCACATGATGGTCAAGCGATAGTGTCAACAGGATTGACCGGACACGCGAGCACACTTAGGGATCTTTCGCCGTTTCGGATCCCGCTGACCTCTTCAATCATTACCATGTTTCCACTACGTAATCTTGATTAGGATAATCACCACAGCCTTACGCGCCAACCCTGCCCCCGCCACGCGCACGAGTATATCAGATTTCGTCGTAACTAGTAATATACTGTTCACTTCCCCCTACCCAAAAAATGACCCCGTGACCCCTACCTACAATATCGACTAGAAATGCAGTAATTACACTGTACAACCTTTAGGTAAAATACTTAATACTTTAAATTCGTGTTATTGTATAAATAATGGTATTATTTATTTTCAAGTTTCAATTCTGATTATCCAAGTGTCTTGTCAAAGATTTATAAATTACTTCATAATAAATTACAGTACATATTGTTATAAGAAGTTAAAAGCTTAAGGTAGCGAGTCCAAGCGCTTGTAATATTGTTTCTCCACCGAAGAAGAGTTCCAATTTCGTCGGAATTACATGTACTCAACACCGAATTCCTTGCCCATTTATTATAGCAAAGCGTGATTTCTTTTTCCACAAAGACATCTCCGCTATTGGATTCGAACTGTAGCAGTGAGCTTATCCACTGCGCATGCGTTATCTAGCATGGTGTTTTTTTCACTACTGGAAATATTTTCAAAATAATCTAACCCTCAAAAGTTAAAGGGTCCGCAACCTTTAATTAAACATGTATGAAAATGACGTCAATTTATCAGGAAGATATTTTTTCGATGCCCGCATGTAGAAGACAAATGATGACACTCACTGATTTAATAGTACGATAAACCTTTTATCTTAGAACATCATTTTCGACTGCAATGCATTAACGCAGTCCGATTTCGCCATACCATCTAGTTTATTTGATTTGTATCGATTTCATATAACACCGCCATTATACAGATTAAGTTGTCTGTAAAGCCCTATCTCTCTGTTAGTAATACTGTGTGGTATACATCACATGTACGATAGTGAACCCAGATCGCAGTATAAGCTACAGTGCCGTATTAACAGGTTATTCTGGTATTTAACAGGAGGTCGAAAGGATTTCAGAATGAGACACAATGCCGGGAAACAATCACTTACGAAGAAAACCTATTGTGATTGAATTGATGTATTTAAATATATGTCTGAGCTTTGTAGTATTGGTGTCCAGAACATGCTTCCCTTAGGGTCGGGTTGAATTAGGACGATAACAGAATTGGATCGCCTGGCATTTATACTCAATCTGACAACTTTTCATTTGATTTAAACTTATTTTATTGCCACAATGCAACTGGATTGGGCACACGTTATTCGACTTTCTTTCTGGAAAACCCCTTCCATAAAAAAAAATACAATAAAAAAATGCAACAAAATTAAAATGTTTTTCATTTAAAATAATACTTATCCAGAACTGTCGGATAATTTTGAAACACTTTTTAAATGTGTGAGTTATGTCCCTTGGCGACCGTTTCTTGCAGTGGGACAGACAACCAGATGACGTCTAACCTTAAACTATCATTTCTGGACTCAACCCAAGACTGTCTCTTCCATTATCCTTGCTGGTCCCCAATCAGATTGTGTTTTTGAATGACGTCGACACGGTCAGTGGATCAGTTCATGCGTATATGCCGAAATATGTCTTACCTTGGTCCAGGTTTGTCAGACTTCTGTATACGGCCATTGCATTGGTTATGCAAAAAAACATAACCTTATACCGTAATACGTAATAACGATATTGACAAATTATAGGAAATGGTGTCTGTTTGTGTACGCATAGTCTGGGCTATGGTGGTATATTGATGTAGATATCACAACATTTAGACGTGTCAGATACAGCTGATTCCGGGGGACTGTTGCCATGGCAATACTGCCGCTATGTATAAGATTTCTTTCTCTAAATGGCCAAATAACGTTTACACGGATTATATTGTTAATGATTTATCCTTTGCGAGAAACAATTGTATTTTGACATTTCGCATCTGCAACTTGTTTGCCAATATCTACAAGAAGTTAAAGATATACATGTTTTTCACGAAAAGTTTACTCAGATTGGTTATTTTGATTTTAAGCAAATGTATTTGCTTACATGGTGAATGCCTCAGAGTGATTAAGTATAGGGTAAGTAAAGACGAAAGATGACGATCATTGACGAAGACAAAATGTCTTTGAGAAGGCGTTATACTGGTAATGAACTTGCACTTTGTTTGGCACCAAGGGTCAAAACGAATAGCAGGTCATAGTATGAATATGTACATTAGGTATTTGTGGATATTTTGTTTTCTGTTTGTGGATATGTGAATATTAAGAGTGGAACTTTTATTCAGGTACTAGTATACTATTACTATTCTTGTCCAAATGATGTTTTGCTTGCGAATTGTTGATGTGTTTGAGGAGGGGGGTATTGATCTGTGAGCCCGATACTGCCGCTAGATGATTTGCTTGTTCGTTTTTACAATAGAAACAATCTTCAGTCGCCTTTGTGCCTATTATTACATCTTTATAGCAATTTTATGCATTGCTCTGTCGAGTGGTGCAAAAGGCTTGTCGATTGATCTCGCTCCCTATGGTACTCGCGAAACGGTCTGGCCGGCTTTTGACCTGCTGTTCATTTGTCAGTCATATAGACAGATCTACAGAAAATACATCAAAACAAACCTGTCTGTACTAAATTTACCCAATATCGACTTGATGTAACAGCCGACCAGCGCGATCGCGATATTCTAGCAATTGTTCTCCCTCCTGTAACAATACCTTCTGGCAGACAACGACTAGACATTTTGATTTTATCGATTCAAATTTTTTATTTATTTTTTATTTGTCAGAAAGAAGTTGGATAATCTGATAAAACCAGTCATGTGGACAAGAGGAATCTGTTTGCTGTTGCTAGCCATTTTCGGTAGCTGCCATGCAGCACAAGAAGTTGGTGAGTTATCTACCATGGGTCCAGAATTGCAGCATCATCAATTCTTATTTCTTACGACACTATGTTGACTTCCATTGATCATTTTCTTCTTTAAAATATAATGATTTCCTGTTGACAACTACACCATTTTTGATTAGTCGGTCAGAATACTTGTGCATATCATATGATATGAGCACTTTTAGAACGTTTCTTTGTGCCTAGAAATTTAGAATCACGGTGCTATGTTCCATATTATAATATTTTGGGAGGATTAATCCGGACAGAGGCCTATTTGCCTGTGCTATATTTCATAAAAGAGACTATGCCTTGTTTCCTGTATTGAAGACGAAGGTCAATTTTGGTTTTCTTTTGTACAAAAAATAAACGAGCTTGGAGCAGTTATAATAGTTTAAATGATAAAAACAACATGTAGGTTTGATGGACCTTTGGTTGTATTTCAAATTTTGACAAGTTAATATCTTATTTTGCATTCCTACCGCCTTAAAAAATAAGGATTGTCAAACTATCTTAATATTTGATAAGGGCGACTGAACAAGAATGATTGAAGCTGGTCACCGCTCTATACAGAATCCCAAGGGTCTGAGAGCTATTGATTTGCGTACTGTAAATTTCACTTTCAGATGTTAGGCGTCATAGAAACGTTTAAAAGTGACTGTAAAATATCCATGTAGATCAAGTGTTCATGTGACTTAACTCGTTGACAGAAAATTCTCAACGCAATTATTTCCTTTCCTCACACATTGAAAATTCCCTAAAGAATCTGTAATTGTACCGTACGCTGTCTGTATGGGGGTAAGCAATTTAAATCGTGCAATAAACACTAAAATCCTTGTTGTATTATGATCCGCGTACTACATAAAATACAAAATGATTCAAACCGTTAAGCCTATCTGGGCGGTTGACAAAGGAGTTTAATTCCACTGTGTGTTGATTGTTTGAAGCTTTAATTGATCGTTCTGACATTTAATAGGTCTTATTCAAGGACATCACAATGCCAAGGTACACCTCAAACACACTGTTCAGGTTTAACTCCGGGTGTTACAGCAGCTGATTACGTCACATGTTTAAGTATATCTGTTTGTGTGATTGATTGACCTTTCATTTTGTCAGGAGGTTAATAATTGACCATAGCCTTTTTTAAAGCCAATTATTAAAAGATAACAACAGGAAGTATGGAGATAGGCAATTGGAATGATAAACATGATATTATAAAACTATTAGTTTAGGAACTTCTTTGTTTTCACGATGACCAGGTCGACAGATCAACATCATCATGTTGAGACCGTGAATCCGGGGGGAATATGTTCCCTCTACTTCCTAACAACCTTTGTGTATCCCAGTACCTTGCTTGGCAAGACCTCATTGTGTTGGCATTATTGTTGAACGTCCATATGTGAGGTAGGCAATGGGTTCTGTCCCCAGCCCGGGACATGCCAAATTCATTAAAATGGTAATTGTTATTTCCCGCCTTTAGGGTTATGGCAACAACTGGTTCACCTGTTGTCAGCATAATGTGACCGGTTGGAATGCTGTGCTGTGTGCTTTTGGTATGGTATTTAAGTGAGGTAGCACTCTAAAGTCGGCATCAAATACCCTGTCTCACATGCATACACGCATACATACACATACACACAAGGAGGCACGTCCTTAAATGACCTTATCTGTTAAAAGGACATTACACAAGATAATACCAAACCAAATTAAGTTTCAGTATTCCTAAACCTGATCAATAGTAAAATTTGAATGTTAATATCGCCATTGAGGTACCAAAGTTTAGACCGTTACGTTCCTCATTTCAGGAATTTATTTAAATAAATTAAAAAAAAACATTACAAATGGGGGTGGGGGTGGTGGTGGTTGTGTGTGTGTGTGTGTGTGTGTTGGGGTTGGGGTGGGGTGGGATGGGAGTTGTTCGCTGTTTAAGTTAATCCAATGCCTCTTCCGTTGATGTATGCTCTGGAAGATAATGAACAGGGCACGTTATGTTAAAAAAGACAAAGGATTGGAGAAAAGACATTCTCCACTTCAATTACATATATTACATGTATATGTATATGTGTTTGGATTCTATAAATAATTGATTTAATTGTGGTGTTTTTTTCATAGCGAATTTTCAGAATACCGCCTCATGTGGCAAGACATATCACCTGGACACCAATGCGTCTGTCAAGGTCGTGAGAAATGACGAGACATCCGGGTTTTGTGGTTTCCTGTTCCACGCCATGACAGACGACATGTACACGTGCCCAGAGGTGTGCGTGAAGGTTGAAGAGAGGTCAATCAGCGATTGTCACGCGAGGTTGACATTGAACGGGATCAAGTTCGTCACGGAAGAAGACGCACCAAAAGTACGACTTCCGGTTAAAAGTAGAACTCATCATTAAGAATGAATGGTCATGAATGTTTAAATTTCCCTAATCATGGAGTAAATATTGTTTTCCTAATTTATCAATCTTCAAGGTCAGGTTAACAAGACGTTTTCTTCCCAACATTTGTAGTTTGATTCCTTAGTAGTTAAGACATAAGGAAAACTACGTGGGTTTTCTCCCAGTACTCCGGTTTCATCATTAAGACATAACTGGACCAATAAGCGTGATAATGTAAGTTGAAAAACCTGTTTCATAATTGTTGCAAAAAGCATAAGTTTATATCTTTTTTGTAAAAAGAATCTGTGGTTATTTACAGCTTTGCCAATCAACGATTGCAGGAAGTTAGTGTATTTAGAAACACTTGAAGTATTTCCCATTACCATCCAATTACAGATTGTTGATACAGGTCGATTATGCCTCTTGTTCTGGTAGCTAGCCTTTTGTCATTAAAATATGTTACCCCTTAATAACCAATTATCATGTTTTGATATAACTTTCGCTGTGCCCTTTAGGAGATGACCTGTTTTGAGCGCCTACCAGACGAGATGTGTTTCGACAGCAGTACTGTGAGAGTGGAGTTCATTCGGGACCTAAAGTACCCTCATGCCAAGCTCAATATCAGCATGGTTGTCACTGCTAAGTGCCTCACCACAGCAGAGGCCAAACGGAAATTCGCAGAAAATGAAGCAGGTACGGCGCATGGGTAGTAATGATGTAACGCGAACATTTTAAAATATAAAGTAAATTACTTTTCGGTACTATACAAGTGGACAAAACTATTTTTTATTTAGCTGTCATTTTAACACTGTATACCATAATGGGTTCAACAAAAAGTACCCAGGGGTGCAAGGGTTAACCTGAGTATGAACATTCAGCTCATATAGTCACCAAAGTCATTGACCCATTTATTTTGAAATGTCATCCATTAAATGCTTTTGTTTTGTAACACAAGTTGATAAAAGCAGCGAAGATTCTAGGTTTTACATTGATTAACATTGACCTTCAACCTTTGACTTCAACAGTGACCCGAAAGAGACACGGGGAGGAGTCGTACACCAGCATGGTGAAGGGTATTGTGACCGGTGTGTGTCTCTGCTCCATCTTTCTTTTGGTTCTCCTCCTCACGTGGTGCTACTACCAGAATAGCTCAAACAGGGGTAAGCGGTACGATTACCCCTCCGCAAAAATCAGCAAACGTAAGTAAATAATTTATCTTTAATTCCTTGATAACAAATCCCCTAAAGTTAGAATATACTAAGTATTGATGTCGACCGGTTCCTCAAAAAATGCTGATGCGGTAAACGGTTTTATATCACGAAAAAGTCGATTTTTGTAATGTTTGCTGATTGAATGACGTCATCTATTACCTGGATGTTATCAAGGGTCACCCTGTATAACAGCTATTGGTTGAATATGTTTCCAAAACAGAATGCTTTTCTGTTTATATTTGTGCCGCAAATAAGAATGACAATAAATATTAAAAATCAAAACAAATTGAAGTTCGAGAAGCTAAATATTTTTGTACCTACTTGGTTTGTTTAAAAGTATCATTGTATGATTGATATATAACCTTACGGAAAGTCAAATATCACAAGAATCCTCTCCACGTTTCAGTTATTTATTTCTATCTAATGAATACATAAAGCTTACAACAATACTGGCATATTGTGTATCAGCCCAGCCTGTGTACACACCTGCCAAAACTCAGGATTTGGCTGATCGTTTTGGGTCAGTAACCCATGGCAACATAGAAATGAGTATGTGCAGTTCAAATTTCATCAAAGCAGTACAAATCCTAAACGTATCCTCAGAAAATTAACAGACAATAGATGCTGATCGAGAAATCTGATGAAATAAAATCTTTTACTGTAAAGCGGTTCAAAGATAAATCTCCTGCACAATGAATATTTAATAAAATAAATGAATAAATAAATGAATAAACTATGCTTTCAGTTGACCCTTGACGTTTAGCAATTTTCGGAATCAAATAATCTTTTCCCTGTAATTTGAAAGGTCAAAAAATGTAAAATAGACATTTCCTTTTTAAATCAAGGACTCAAAGCTCAGTTTAGGGAGTCAAATGTGTACTCTTCGAAAAGTCATGCAATTTCTTTTCTTTTCCAAAAAGGATCGACATTTGCTGGGTTCAAGGCAAGAATGAACTTCAGAAATAGTGGAAACTCTGCATCGAAGTCGGAAGAAGTACCCAACGAGAGGTACACGGTGACAAACGAGACCAAAGCCAAGCAAGGTGAAGACCTCCCTCTCATAAACACCAACAAGGAAGCAGAAGAGAAGGAAGCTTGCGATGATGCAACGGAGAACGCGTGTGCAAAGGACGAGCCGTGTTGTGATCCAGAAAAGGCGGAGCCCTGCGAGCCGAGTGCACCGGAAGCATACTCCGCACCCGCACCAGCGCCGGAAGTAGATTATGCACCTGCTACCTTAGAAACAACATGTACAGATATAAGTTCAGGAGGCGATGGAGGTGGCGATGCTGGATGTGGGGGTGGTGATGACTAGGTATTGAATCCGTTAGATAATCTGTTTGTCAAACTTAATGCAGTAAATATGTAATATACAAGGAGGAAATTTAAAACCAAGCATTAAGTTCGAAACTAATTCACTAGTTTGATTAACTTTACTCCTACCTTGACAAACCTTTAAATACTTGGTATATTCCAAGTTTTAAGTCATAACAATATCGATGAATGCTACATTTGTATGCCACGCTACCTGACTTACAATAGTGGTTTATATAATGTGTGATGTAGAAATTATCATTAAGCAACACTTGCAAGTAATGTGTTTTTTCTGTTGCAACTGATTTCAACGAAATGTGATTACTTGTAGATATGTATAACATTAGCCAATTTCATCATTATAATATTTCTATTAACAAGTTTGTATTTTTAAAACACCAAAGTGTATGCTGAAAAGGAGAATTAAACACTCGTGTGTAGATAACAATTTTATTTGTGCAATGCAATTGGAGATTATGTATGAAAGAGTGTATGAATGAGTTTCTGATAGTGAGAAAATATATTTTTAGTTGGTGTTTGGGTTTGGCCAGTTTGCGTCTTTTCATAAATAGTTTTATTAATTATTGGATGCATGAAGATGAATGAAGTATATCTTTTTTCTATTTTCAACAAAAAATATAAGAAAGTGAATTTTCATTTTTAAACTATTTTCGAAAAAGAAGCTGAACAGTAGATATTTTTTTATTTCATTAAGAATATAGGCTTTTTAATATTTCTTATTTTTGTAACAAATATCAAGGTATTCCCGATAGGAAAAGCCGCAACCCCCAGACTCTGTTTAGCTGAAATGAGTAAAGGGGGATAACTGCAGTTATCTCTCGACCAACTATTCAGAAATAGCTCCAATAGGCCACTCGTTCAGAACGGGCAAGTATAGGACGGAATATATTTGTGTTGTCGGTGAGAAATTGGACGCATGATATTTTTCAATGAGTTTTACAAATGTATCAGAAGATTGTATTTTTCTGTATATATTTCTGTGGTTTTAAAGGATATCTTCTCCACGTTCCCACGGCAACTAATCTGTGAATATTTGTAACTAGACGCATTTTTGTACGCAACTTAAGATATAGTCCTTATTGTGGTCGATCCTATAAATGTTTTGTTTAAGAAAAAAACGTTTGTTTGTAATTTGTATTTGTTTGAGTTGCCTAGAGACGGCAGAGTTACAAGCTTCAAGGCATCCAATAACTTAGAGAGTGCATGAAAAAATATACAACAAACACGAGGAGCAAGTTGACACCAAAGCAAAAGGAAAGACTTCATAAGCAATGAAATTGATCTATAAAATTAGAATCGAAAGTACTTATTCCGGATTTCCAATACAAAACTATTTATGCTTAAAACATTGGAATATTAGGACAATGATAAAACAAGCAACCTGGGAGGGCACTAAAGCAATAGGGACGACTAAAGGAGGCTTCCCTACACACATGTAGGTATATGGTGTAGGCTTATTCTACCCTTGGTACACATTTTGGGTCAGAACTGAGATTTTGTGCTCAGGTTCTACATTCAAGGGTAGACGGACATTCCTAATTCAACAAGAAATATAGGAGATTATATAGATACGGTATTAACCAAGAATCAGTAAGTATACTATGCCAAATGTATACTATAAAATGAAAGCCAAATCTTCACATTAGGTTCGTTAGGTAAATGTTTATTTCCGTGATGCAATGTCTGATGCCGGCCTATTTTTGCCAGTGGATACTCCTCCGCTGACCAAAAGTCAATTAAATGACGTCACGTATCACATCAAAATAAAGTTATGTTTCAGAACGTCATCCGATATTTTATTCGATATTTGAAATAATTTGTATGCTCTTCCTAGTCAATCAGAAACAAACACTGCAAGTTTTTAAACTACATGGGATACGTATATCTTGATTACGTAGATGTCGGAGATACCATATGTAACGAAACAAACCTCCGTATGAAATTGAAGATACTTATTACAGGTCCCATAGACACCGAAATAGAAAGAAAAAATGTTACATGAAGTAAAGTGGCAGTAGAGCAAATACATTTGTTTTCGTAACATTTAAGTCAAATGAAAACAAGTTCACCAACATAAGTCATATTAAAGTTTTTGTTTTCTTGCTTTAAACAGGCATTTTACTAGAAAAAAAACATTGTCAGAAACCCAAGGTCGTTACACCCATCGATCGTAGGTTAGCTCAGCAAATCATTCTCAAGGTCATGAATAATTATGAGGCAATTTGACTGGCTCCGTCACATTTTTTTGTACCGGACCTGAGCCAATGAAAACAAAAGGTAACAAACGCTTAATAACAACGATGGCGGCGAGTGAACTTGATCAACGTGATGAAGAAGTTTAATATAGAGACTTTTAACACCAACAACAGACCATCAAATCATCAAATTTTATTTCAACTTTAAAAAAAGATAAAAAGCAAAATGAAAAAAAAAAATGTACATAACCACATGAATACAACAGTTAACCTCTGTATACTGTTTCAGGTGTAATTTATGTCATCTCGCTGATTGCAATTTGACTTCATCGTTCCCTTTCCGACTCGATAAATTGTAAACTTTGTAACGCAAACGTGAACAAGTAATGGCTGAAGACAAACTATGCGAAGATTAATATGGTCGCGTGTGAGAACAATATGGTCGCGCGTTAGGACAATAAGGTCGTGGATGATGACAGGATGTTCGCGCTTGAAGACAATATGATCGGGCTTAAGGACAGTATGGTCACGCGTGAGAACAATATGGTCCCGCGGGAGGACAATTTGGTCGTGCGTGAAGACAATATTGCCGCGAGTGAGGACAATATGGTCAGGTGTGAGGACAATATTGCCGCGCGTGAGGACAATATGGTAGGATGCGATGACAATATGGTCGGGCGGGAGGACAATATGGTTGCGTGTTAAGAAAATGAGGTCGCGCGTGTGGACAATATGGTCGCGCGTGAGAACAATATGGTCGCGGGTGAGGACAATATGGTCGGGCGCGAGGACAGTAAGGTAGTGCGGGAGGACAATATGGTCGCTTGTGAGAACAATAAGGTCACGTTTGAGGTCAATATGGTCGCGTGTGCAGACAGTATATATTATATGTTGAGCAAGGACAATGAGGTTGCGCGTGAGAACACAATGGTCGAAGATGAGGACAATATGGTCATGCATGAGAATAATATGGTCGCGCGTGGACAATAAAGTCGCACGTGATGACAATATTGGTGCGTGTTGGGGACAATATGGTCGCGTGTTAAGGACAATATTGTCGCGCGAGAGAACAAATTGGTTGCGCGTAAGGACTTCATATTGTATATGGCTGCGCATGAGAAAAATATGATCGCGCGTATGGATAATATGGTCGCGCATGAGAACAATGAGTTTACGCGTGAGGACAATAAGGTTGCGCGTGAGAACAAAATGGTCGCAGATATAGACAATATGGTCGAGCATGAGAACAATATGGTCGCGTGTGAAGACTATGGCCAAGTTTGAGGACAATTCATGTGGCGTGTGATGACAATTTGGTTGCGCGTGAGGACAATATGATTACACTTGTGAACAGTTATTATATCTTTATTACCTCTTATTTGAAAATCATTTGTGAGGAAAATTAAATTGCGCGCGAGGAAAATACGATCGATTATTTGGAAAATTAAGTTTTTAGTTTAAATCATTCATTTTGAATGCTGTAAGGTATAATGCTGCTAACGAACATTGAAATGTGATCACCATCACGCTATCCTAACGAGTTGTCGTCAGCTGGGTTGAGTTTATAATCATTGGAATGTTAACATTATCACGCTATCCTAATGAGTTGTCGTCAGCTGGGTTGAGTTTATAATCATTGGAATGTTGAATTGTTAAAACATAATTACGAAAAATATGTTGGAGTTAAAAGAATTGAATTTCTTTTATGCCAAAACTTATGAAATTGCATTTAACGAAATCACTCTTTTCTTATGTTTCAATAAAAAATAAAACTTTGTAAGATTTGGGACCGACACATCGGTCACTGCTTGTTCACATAGTTTACATTCCTCCTGCTGAGGCCAAGCCATACGATGACGGTCAGAAGCAGGCAGATAACCACAATCAGCAAGGCCAGTACTGTCCAAAACTGGTGTGATGTCAAAACAACTGTAATGAGAAGTACACATATCGATTCTATGGATAAACATGTTTTGCTGACGTCAGCATAAATATAACGAAAAGTACAACTGTGACGTCGGCGTAATCGTACACAAGAACCTAATTCGGTAAAATCAAAATATTTAATTACAAGAACACACCACTTCTGTCATTTTTAAAGATTAATGAGTGAGTAGTTATACACACATAGCAAGCTTACCGATTAAAACACAGAAACAAGAACAACATACATATGAAAGTATTTCAAATATTAAATTGAAGAATATTTTTCTTTTTTCACTTTTTCTCCTTTCATGAAAATGCTTCAATATTTTATGGATTACTTACCAAACGGTTTGGTGCCATTCCTGTCTGTTTGCGTTTCTGAAATCATGTCTACCTCCACAGAACGCTTGTGTTTACTCCCCGCGTGGTGGCGCTGTTCGTACCGGAAGTCCCGACATTCTGCAAACCCTTCCGGTGGTGGTGGAACGTGCTCCAAAGATTCGTTGACCGCCATAGCCATACCGTCCAGGTTATGTAGTTCAATGTGACAATGCAAGAACCAAAGACCTGGATTATCTGACCTGATTCTGACGATTGCGTATCCACCAGATGGCACTATGACTGTATCCTTCCGTGGAGGGTTATCTAGCTCCAAACCAGGGATATTGTTGCCATACCATGACGTGTTAGACCAAGATGCCTGGTTGCAGAAACTTAATTTACCATTTCCGTTGCAGTTAATATCTGGATTATCAGAGACTATTTGACTGTTACTGTCATACACAGCAAATCCCATCTTAATGATTTCAAATGAGTGTCCATGCATATGTATGGGGTGAGCCCAGCCCCGGCCGAGTCCCATGTTGAGGAATACAAGGTGATACGTTTTGTTATAGTCTAGATTGAGTGTGTTAAAACAGTAGCATATCTTATCTTCACCACACTCTTGATCGTTACATCGATGTTCGTCATCCACTTCGCTCATCTGTGTTAGACTAGACACGGGTGGCGCTTTAAACTTCCTTCCGTTAACCGAGCCAGGTGTAAACGAAATCCCGGGAAAAGCAAAATTCAGGAACTCTTCCCTCGCAGGTTCTTCTGGTGTCATGAATGGTTTGTTGGTGGCTGATGTGGTGCTGTGTTTTCGTCTGAATTTATCGGCATTAAAACAAGTAGAATTATACCAGGGTGGGAACTCACTAAATGGACAATTCAGCGTGTTACACTTATTGGTCAGTGTGCACGTGTGAGGAGACGAAGATGGTTCTACGTCCCTCGCTCCCTTGTAGCGTAAAATGGCTTCTGCAGTGTGGTTCAAATTTATTTCTAGTGTCTTTGCTCGGATCCAGTAGTTTGAAGGACTCTGGCTTGCATTTAAGAGGAAGTCATATCTCTCTCCAGGGTTGATGATGATGGATTGTACCGTCACTGGCTCAATGTCCATTCCATCAGAAGCAATTACTATCAGCATGTGATTATCGATAGAAAATCTCCATGGGTACAAAACGCCATTTGCAATCATTCGGAAACGATACATTTTTCCGTGTGAAACCTCAAAAGTAGAAAGAGGCGCGCCATTGTGATTACCCGAATGGTCGTCATAGTAACGCCCTCTACCGTTTATAAGCCCAGATTGCATGTGAAACATACTGAAACTAGCGCCCTCTATAGACTTTGTATTGTCGACCTTACTTCCGTTTCTGTAATTACCATAGTTCATTTTCATGTGTGCCATGTCGGAATCGATGTCATGGTTCCAATCTTGTATGGTGAGAATGTGTTCGTCAACCTCGAGGGCAATCTTCTCTCGGATGATAAGGGCTCCGTTCAGACCCATCGACCGCTGGGCCCCTATGTGCGAATGGTACCAGAAAGTACCCGCCGGAGTGGCCCTGAATCGGTATGTAAATTTCTGACCTGGAAGAATGGGACACTGTGTTATAAAGGCCACCCCGTCCATCCAAGGCGTTTCGTGTTGTGGCAGACCATGCCAATGGATTGTCACCGCATCGCTGGCCAAATGATTGTGTACATGGACCGTGATCATCTGACCCTCGTAAACAATCATTGGCGGACCCGGGAGACTGTTGTTAGCCACAGTTATCACTCGGGATTCAAAATATCCATCTGCGGTAACGATATTGTCCATGGGGATGACGTCACTAGGAGCAGGTTTGGGGACGTCATAGTGATACAGCTTCCCCTCTCGTGTATATAGCAAAACCTTACCATCCATCATTGTCAGATGATTCTCAACGATGAACGTGAATTCACACTCGTCATCGCTATAGCTACAGTCGCTTATGACGTCACATGCCATCAGGAACACTGATACTGTTATCACGTATACCCGGAACATCTTGGATTTATTTGTCTGCAAAACAGAACGGCACTTTAGGGACGCACAAAACCCCGATCTTATATTCTACTAAAAGTATCCGAGTGCTTTTTCCAGATGCACCCTATTTATATATCCGAGGACGCACCTAAACCATGTATTCTAATCCATCTAATCTTCTAACAGAAGATCTAGATTGACAGTATTATGTACGCTCACTGCAGCCTGTACATTTAACCAAAGACGCACACTCCCTTCGTTTCATAAGGCACCACTTACTCCCGTATCAAATGAGACAATACATTCTCCTGACACACAAAAGAGGCACGTCCTTAAATGACCTTAGCTGTTAAATAGGACGTTAAACAAAATTAAACCAAACCAAATATCTCGTTACATTCGATCTTAGATCTTCCTGTTTTCTTAAAAAGATTAACATTACAAACACACAGTGTCAATCGTTTGACACTCAATTTCCCCGCATCATTAAATACATATAATTACATTTGCATGGCATTGTCACTATATAGCCTCTTTGAAAGCTGTGTCGTTGATGGGACTTTAATTACCATGCATCACGAGACACAATTCTTAGCGTATTAATACAACACTGACCGGAACTACAATATCCAATATGAATGACGGCTGCTGAAATATCGCTGGGCATTGTGAGATTTGACAATGTCATTGTAAATTTATGTGCAAAATAAAAAATAAAATAAAAAACACTTTTATTACAACGAAAACAAGACCAAGGTCTGCAATATCGTACAAAATGCACATCGGTTGAAATCACCAATGCCGGCAATGGAAACAATTTTAACGCTCATGCAATTTATCAGAAATATCGTCTGTTACACTGCACTGATCAACAGGGGTTCGTTACAAATGTCTGAAATACACATATTCTATAGACCTACTGACACATATGTTACAGACCTACTGATATGAGTCACAGCACACATAAACATTTCAGACATTTGTAACGAACCTGTGCTCCGTCGCAAGATCACTCACTTCAAACGCTATCAGTTTCACGCGTCTCGCATCCACGGTTCCTCAGTTTCTGACGACATGTCAAATAACGAGGCTGTTATAGAATCTACCGACTGTTGTCAGGTTCCCATACAATCAACAAATAAATTCACGCCTGGATTCTTCACAAAATGAGCAAAGAGAAAAGTTCGAATTAACTTCCAAAAATAACTCCCTCGTGGAGGGCAAGGTCGGATTTACGGTGTTCACTGTATTTATCCATGCGCTAAATTTGTTCCGGAGAAAAATCGAAACAATTTCAAATCTAACTTTCAGCTCAGAGTTCTATTGATAAACTTAAATCACCCTATATACATATCATACGCAATTGTATTTATACTGAATTGTGGAATAACATTGAAGTGTTTGTTAAAATTTCAAAGTACTACTTTGTTTGCCAATCAGCACGCGACAAACACGCTGTTCAAACTATTGAACGAAATTTTGTGGACTGTCGATAAGGCGGGCATTTTGAATTTTGAATATAAATTATAAGTTAAAAAAGAACATAAGAGGCAGAGAAAACGTAAATATAAGTATTGAACTGTTTTTGTATGGTATTTATGATCTATTTGAATACCATACAAAAACAGTTCAATGCTTAATTAACTCTTGCATTACGAGACAAAATCTACTTCTGTCACGATCATCTTTCATATTTAACGCATTATTTTAATGAGATCGTCTTGTATCTTAGCACGCAGCGACTCTTGTACTTTTAAACAGAGCCTAAAGCTGTAATCAAATATACACTCAGTTTTGCTTATCAAAACGCCCTGCTCTCGTTTCCTATAACATGACACTACTTATCGTAATATACACTCATCCCTGTACAAATGTATCGTCCTATACAGCCACTCCTATTTCCTAAGACAATTGCCCACTCACGTGTCCCATTTGTTGGTTCTTTGATAAAATTTTCTGATTTTGAGGCTAGCTATGTTATTAAAGTGATATTTTGTTCTTAAATCCTTAAAGGAAACAAATATTTACAACGCTTTGTGTGGACCTCATCAAGTTTGCAGTTGCTTAAATAACACATTTACAGTAGAAATATGAACATATCACGAACCAAAATATGTATGTGGGGGCCAGGGATGCTGCAGTTAAGTCTGGTAAACCTCTCACTTTCATTATTGAGACTACATCATACAAATGAGGATACAATGGATAAAACATGTTCAGGATGAAATAAGTCAACTGGACTTAATTGGCATGAAAGTTTCATGTAGTAAAAATTGCATACATTCAAATACAATTTGAAATGAGTGCCGATTTATTTGGCCGGACACTGACGGCTAAGACATGGCGCTGTAATAACATCAGTTATAAAACAATTACAGACTCAAGAGTCAGATATAATAATGATAAAGAAAAATTACGATTACAAATTCGACTTTTCCGAGCACTACACTGTACTCTTAACAGGCATTCCTGTCTAAAGATAAGAAACTGTATTTTTACCTGTGTCGCCGCAGCACTGTTCGGATGCGTTCTACAGTAATGGTTACTCCACCTTGTAGTTTTATACCCACGCACACAGACATTTTGAATGTGACACAGCTGAGAGAAGTCCAGATGTATTTTATTTTTTTGGTTTGTTGACCTGTCAATATGTTCGCTGGAGTGGCGCCGCGGATTAGCGTCCTTGGGTGCTTATCAGAAAGGTTTGGCGGACATTCCGACCAGATTTGAAGGACACGATAACAGTATTAAGAAATGACACGTTCATTGCCGAAGAAAACTTTCCTTAAATAAACTCAGTTGACATATCATTTCATCAATGACTCTTAAAGGTTTCCTTGATACCAAATTGTTTTCGGTAAGATATAACCATTTGCTCCTGCCCGGAGAAATCTAAACAGCATATAAGTCATTTTCGACAAAACCCCGTAAAGCGGATGTGACGTCACAGGTAGGAGTTGGTTATTTGTCGTATATAGTACATCCTCGTTTGAAATATAAGAAAGATAGATGATCAAATTAATGATGGTGAGCGATATCAAGACTTTAATTCATCAGAAAAAAATGACGATATGCTAGGTCAAATAACGCCTGGGCTGTTGAATCTAATCAGAAATCGTCTTTCCAGAATATTTCTAGTAACTTCCTTTATATGATGGGATAAACTGCAATAAATCTGGTACCATTCATACTTCAATATTGTGCACATGTAGCTGAAGGTGATTCTGAAGTCTTTTTATCAATATACGCGACTTTATTTATTTCGTATCTACACCTCATGAATTTTGATTTTTACTTTTAATTTAAACCTAATCATCATATTAATGGATTTAACGTCAAATTAATTAGATAGGTTCATGTTATGTAATTGTCGAATTCTTACAGTATTATTCTATTGTTTGTCTTGTTTTCTTGCACAATGCTGTGTTTTATATATAGGAAGTCATATTTAAGTCAAATGTTATTGATTTAAACAAAAAAAAAAAGTTTATTTTAGTTGTCAGTGTGCGTACTGCGAGACATTCTCTACAGTGTTCACGGGATTTCAGCTAGAGAGAAAATAATGTTTAAAAGATGATAAATTGTTATCATCTTTGGTAAAGTATCATGTTTTGTGGACTTAATAATTCATTTATTTTTGTTGCATGTTTATTGACCCCATAGCATGCATATCTTCCTCTCAAGCACCGTTTTGACCAGTGATAATGGGCAGCCCAACTAGCCTCTTTGCCTAGTAAAAACACCACTTTCCCCTTTTTCGATTCTTTGGGACTTTTGACACAGGGTTAATGATTTTTTGATCTGTAATTATACAATAAAAATACATTTTGTTGCAATTTTGTCGACTAGAAACATCTATCTGGACTAGCCTCTAGTGGGGACACATGCTGTCATATTAGTGTCCCGATTGTTTCTAGTAAGGAGGAGAAAGCAATTTTGCATGGAGTGGTACAGTAGAATAGATTTTACTTCTTTTTTTCTAAATTATAAAGTCTCTTCCAACATATGATTAAAATATTGCGAAATTTTGGATCAAAATCCCCATATTTGACTTGGCAAAATGTATCCCCATTTCTGTATTTCAACTACATCAGCTAAGACGAACCACCAGACAGTAATCTACGTTTTTCAAACAAATTACAAAGAGTGCACTTCTAATGGTAAACACAGGAGTTTTATGAATGACACATGAAAAAGAATAGAAAATCGAGTCCATTATCTAAATACCTTGCCCCTAAAATTTGAACTTTCTGGATTTTGGTCATTTCCGTAAAGACCCAAAAATTCAACCAATATGATATTGTAAACTTTCATCGGACGCTATAACGAACTATCTGGGCGTTGCGATGAAAGACAATTCATTTAACAAATGTATACATGCAAAACTGATATTGAAGTTAATTTGCGCACAATTGTAGTAAGTTTTACTTGACAAAAATCATGATATTTTTGCTTTGTTATCTGAATGTCAGACTCGTGACGTCATGCGAGCTTTATCGACCAGTTTGTAAAGGTGAGATTGTATTGGTAGTTAAAACAGGAGAAATCCTTTGTCGATTCAATAACAGCTACACTAAAGTGGAATCAATTCTTAGACAACAAAAAACACTACATAAAGCCAAAAATCACTTGATGGTCACGCCAGTGACTAACGATATGACAAGTTTTCACAATGTGCCAGATATTAAAACAGCAAGGTTTTTAATGGAAGCAAAATGTCCCCAGCGGTAAAAAAAAACATGCTACTTTTAAAATCAAACACTGTAAATAATTTATTTTTAAAAATAATAGCAATTGTATACATTTTATGAACTCTTTTCAGATATGCTGTAAATAACATTCCATATAACCCTCATTACGACCTGAGGTGTATTCAGGAAAACATATTTTAAACATTTAGAAGTTGTTTATAAAATCGCAACCAAACTATCGTCGCGGTAAAATATCTTTTTAAAAATTAACAACTGCATAACATATAATACAAATATATACCATTTAAAGCTATTCTTATGAAATATAAATTATTAAACATATGATATAACATATTTTTCTATATTACACTGTTGTAATTTGAACTTATTGAGTATTATATTTATAAATAAATATGTCAAAATGTATTTTTGACAGTGCGTTATTATTACATATCAACAACTGGTATAATAATACAATAGATATAAGCTGTATGGCAAATGAAGGGCTATTATGAGATTGATAATAATCTGCTTTCGTAGTTACAACTGTATTTCATCTACAGAGAAAAAGCTTGAGAACCCGAACATTTAACATATGAAAGGAAGTTAAAAGAAATATTTGTACTTCACTAGTGTCTAAGTCTAGTCATTAAGATATTTGGTTTTCGATCACCAGCAAGGTGATGCTGTTAAAATTCGACTAGTTTATATTTCAATTTTAGCATTGATTTAAATATTTTAAAATAGGGACATTTTTAATATCAGTGTCAAGATCATTCCATGGTCTAGTTGTGGAGGGTATAAAGGAGTTATTTGTAGATTGTTATCTATTGTTTGGAAAATTGAAGTTATTAGCGTTTCTCAAACTATAAGCTGTTACAGATGATACTTTGGGTAGGAGAATATACTGTAGGCAAGAAGGGTCAAGTTATTAATTATTTTATTATGACATACGTATTTTTTCTGCATCTTTTTCTTTCTAATGTTTCCTATCCAGTTTCAAAGTACAGGAATACTCTGATTTCATAGGATGACAATCCCATGACGATGTGTGCAGCTTCCAATTGAACTTTTTCTAAATCATCTGCACCAACCCGGGAACAACCATCCCATAGCTCACAGCCGTACTCCAACAAGGGTAGAATAAAAATATTATAAATTTTGTTCAAAGTTTTACGACATAATATATATTTTAGTCGACGCAACTCTGCAATTTGTTTCGAGGCATTTTTACAAATATTTCCAATATGTTGGGTCCATTTCAGATTTGCACCCAATGTCATTTCGAAATGTTTGTGGCTTTCAACAAAATTTATGGCGACATTGTCAAACGTTGAATTAACATCAAGTTCTGATTCAGTGTTAAATACTCACAGTGCCTCAGTTTTTGCTGGGTTAAACTATTTTTTAGCCCAATTGTTGAATAGTTTTTGGTCATTATTCATAAAAGTTTGAATATTTAAAGGTACATTGCCAGAATATGTAATAACCTATCTTCTGCTAACAGTCTCGATACTATCATAAACAAATAAAATGAATAACAGAGGCTCAAGTACAGAACCCCGAGGTATCATCAACAAATATGTATGAATGTTTTCAGAATTGATAAGAATAGTGTTTTCTTTTAAATCATTTTTTGCAGATTAAACGCTTGATTAGAACAAAATTGGCGATTAAACTTTTCTTATCATTTAATTATTTAAAAGAAAACGCGGTTCTATTTTTAACACAGCCACAAAAATTGAGGGTCTCTGTGCTTCTTTTTTGTCCCATTATTATTTGTGGGTTTTTTTTTACCCTTTTTCGGGGTCAAAAATCAAAAGTGTTACAGTTACACTACTTTAAATGAGTTTTATGAATACGGGCCTTGGTCTATGACGTCACTGGCCATACAGCTTAGGTCAAACGTTATTTACGATATAGCGTATCTTGGTCTACTTTTGGACATATCTTTCAAGACGTTACTTACCATACGACTTACAGTAGACGGTGTTATCTACCCGAAGGGCTATTTGTAACGCCTTCTATCCTACGGCTTTCATTAGAGTACTTCATCTATTTTTGGTCATTGGTTATCATAAACACAAATATTTCTTCATAATAATCATACTGCAAAGGAACGAACTCAGAAAACGTCGATTTCTTACTCCCTGCAACTTTAAAGATTTTGATCATGTTTTTGTTTTTTTTGTGTTTTTTTTTAATTTAGCTTTTTGTGGTGTTTTTTTCTACGAATGTTAAAATAGCCATGAATGTAATTTTCAATACTCGGCGACGTTTTATTGAAAATGTTCGGTTTCTCTCAAGACATTTCAATGCATTGTAGACGACCTTGTATGGTTCATCACGACTTTATCAAGCCGGAGCAGTACTACATGTACTGTGCTATAGCTTACACTGTACTTTAGCTTACTTTCGTTAATGCATTATATAGCTTACTTTCTGTAATACACACTTACGCAACACTGGTACGAACTAGTGCAGATTAATGAAGGTTGCCACAATACGACATAATACTGAACCTTTACCAGTATGTTAATAGGTAGTTCAGCCTGGCAGGAAGGTACGCTTTATGGTGGCTGATTGAGGGAATAAACATCATAATGTATATCCCGTTATAACGAGTTAAATTCCCGCTATCAAAAATTCGTATCTCTTTATAACGAAATACCAAGTCGTTATAAAACGTTACAGGTACATTGTATTTAGTCGTAATACCGAGACTATGTACTCGTTATAACAAAACTTAGCATCGTTATATAGAGTAGAAAGTTGTTATAAAAAATCAATTTTCTATGAGATAAACAGATTCCAAAAATGGTTAAGTATAGGTATTAAATTACTTTCATTCATAGGCAATATGAATGCCATCTGAAAGCAGTTCAACG